GGTTAATGTTAATGTCAGTCATTACTTCCTGCCTCTCCTTGTCTGCTGCCTAGAAATCTGAAAATTCACCCACAAGAGTCTCCTCTCAAGGGAAGACCGTATCATCTGCCAGCATCTGTGTTGTTTTCCAGAGGGAGATTGTTTTCTTTCCATGAGCTGGGCAGCCAGCACTGAGCTGTGGCTGGGGGGAGCTGCTCACCCAGGATGCATTTGCTCTGGACCTTTGGTTGCAGCATGAAGGATCCGGGCCACTTCAGCAGCCAAGTCAGTTTTGTTCCTCTAACTTGGCTTGTACATTTGCTGAGCAAAGCCCTGCACACAGGCAGAACATTTCACTTGCAGTCCTTAGCACTTCATTTTTGATGTATAATGGTTTTACCTTGGTTATGAACAACTTGCTTGCCTTCGCACGGATGTTGGCATGCTGCCAGGACAGGTACTCATCAACCCTAGCCCTTTTTTGCAGGTCAGATGGGTACCAGTGATCAGGAGTCTTGAATTTCCGGACCAGGTACAGGAGGATTGCAATGCTGCCCAGAGAGCAAGACAGACCGATGAGCTGATCATCTGAGATTAAAGCACTTCATCCTTTCTTTTCCCCACCAAGTTTTGCACTGCTGGACAAACCTGCTGGGAGGCAGGTAGAAGTGCAGCAGGGCACAGCCCAGGAGAGAGTTTGTGCTGCTGCTTGTGGACTGCAGTCTCTGATATGAGGTAACTGCCCAGCAAGACAGGTGTGGTCTGCCAGTACAGCTTTGAGCAAATAGAGGCTGCACAATGAGTTTATATCAAATCTGAGCGTCACCTTGCCTGGCCATCCAGCAGTGGGTGCTTTATGTCAGATTTCCTGCACTGACCTACAGCCTCCAGCTGCAGGCAGAGAGCAGGACAGGTGGACAGGTATTTAAGCTCAGAAACACTGCCTACAAAGTAGCAAAGTAGGTCCAAGCAGCAGCTTTTTCTACTATTAATGCTGTTCAAATTGCTTACATAAGACAGCTTCTCTTGAAAGACAGGTTTGTTATGTACAAGTGAAACATAGGATAGGAAAACAAAAACCTGCCTGGACTGGAATCCCAGCAGTACACTGGCAGAATCCAAACACTGGGATAAACAATAGAGTAGAGGATTGAGCTTAGTTGAGCCTCACCTCTCTGCTAAGGTGAAAGAACCATCCCTTAGTGCAGGCACCTTCATCAGGACATTCACCTTCTGGAACTCCTCCGTCTTGTGCTGCCCTGAGGAGGGAAATGAGAACTTTTATTTGGCAGGGATACTCAGGACCTGTTTGTAAACGCCTGAGGAGTTTGTGGGGACTGTCTGGCTTCAAGTTCTTGTTTTTGATTGTAAAATCAAGCCTTGTGTCAAGTTTATAAGCAATGAATAAGTGCTGCAGGGTGAGCAGGGGACTAGCCCTGTGGTATCAGCTTGCTTGCTTATTGCCTGCATACCAGACCCACCTTGAGACCACGGGCAGAATGGTTAAGAGTCCTTTCATACCAACAGCACTTGACAGCTTGGGGCTCCAAGTTTGTGCCTGGAGGTAGCTGTCCTGTCCAAACCCAGAGGGAGCAACAAGCACCTTGGAGGAAAGATATTTCACTATCCTTTCCTCCAAGGAAGGGAGGACAGTGAGAAAGCAGATACATTTTTCTGGAAGATAATGTAATTTATATTGAACTATGCTTTCTAAAGTCCACAGATGAAAATAAATTCCTGTGATTCTATATAAAGCCATGGGTACTTCATTACAGATCTTTCAATTAGTTCCTGTGCATTTTACATATCTTCTGTAAGAGCAAATATGGATTTGGAGTTGCTTTTAATCTATCTTGTAGGTCCTCCCCAAAAGGCAGGCAGAGTGAACCTGACAGGAGAAGGTGCTTTGTTCATCTGAGGTCTCGTTCTACTCCATTCTGTCTGAAACCAGCCCCAGAAGCCTTGTTTTATGTGTCTTGTTTGTGACAGCCTTTTCCACCCACTCACTTCTGTCACATGTGGCTGCCTGGGTATTCAAACCTCTCTAATGTGTAATTAACCTTGTGCCACGTCCTGCTGTGAGCCATCCCAGAATCTGTGTGCCAGAGGAGATGCTCTGGAAGCAAATCTAGCTTTTCTGGTACTTGGCAAACCTGATTTGTGACTATTCCTGTCACTTGGCTCACAGCCCATCTCCCCTACCCCCCTCAAAAAGACAAAGCATGCAGATTCCAGGTCTTCAGGTGTCCTTTGAATGTCATGTGATCCCTGTCCATTCTCACTTTCAACCTCTTTCATTGACACCTGCCCCAGTGGGAGCTGAGAGCTTTTCTGGGGCATCACATTTAATCCACCAGCTCAATTCTGAGTATCAGTTCCCTCAGCTTGTCCTTATAAACCATGCAGTGACAGGTTCCAGTGCAGTGAGGAACCCTTAGAATGCAGTGACAGGTACCAGTGCAGAGAAGCCTCCCCCACTGTGGTAGCCAGTGCAGGTACCTGCAGAGCTTCTCCATGGCATGGGAGGTGCAGGCTCTGCAGGAATGGGATGAGATGCACCCAAACCACCCATCTTAAATTCACAGGCCAAAAGCAGGCACTGTTGGCAAGGGGCAGAGAGCATTTGGAATCTGTGATTTAGTTCCCTTTCCTTCCTCTCACTTCCCTTATCCTGGCATTTCAGTTCCATTTTCTTTGGTGCTCTCATTCCTTGCCTGCCAGTCTCCTCTCCTTTGCTCCAGTGTCCCACCACAACAGTTAATTTATTGTGAAAGAAGGGGAAGGACACAAGATGAGCCAGCCCCCAGCTACAAACAATTGCAAATATTTTTGCTATGAGACAAGTGGGAGGAAAGCCACAGTAAGGTACAACCAACGTACAGCTCAGGTGCAGGGGAACACCCAAAGACTCAACCACAACACATCTGAGGTTTGTCTTAAGTTGGAGCCTCTTTTGTTCCTTTATCAATTTCAGCTCCAGGAGCCTTCTCATCTTTCACTGTTTTTAAGCATTACTTACTGAGGCCTTTTTATGCCTAACCTTAATTTCAAATCCATCAGACACATGGAAAGGCCGAAGGATAGGTTTCACCACCTTCAATTACAAAGATAGATGATATAGATCTTTGAACCTCCTTTGGTGAAAACACACCTTTGGACAGGCTCCTAACAGTTATCAGTTGGTTTTAACCCAACTAAACCACCTCCCTTCATTTCTCAGTGTTCTGAATACTGGCAGCTGCATTGTCTTGCTCCACAGCCTTCACGAGCTGGTACTCAACCCTCTCAAAATAACCTGACCACAAACCACTTGACCCAGTAGAACCCCCAGAGGTTCCCTAGCCCTGCCCTGCCCTACCTACACATGGGGATAGCTCGGCAAACTGGTGCCTGACGAGCCTCCCAAGGGGGTGTTAACCTCTGCCAAGAGGGGAAGGGCTGCTCTGCAGCAACTGCTGCTGCTTACCAGAGCACAGATTTTTCTAAGGTGAATTACTGAACAAGAACCACACACCTCAGCTGGCCTTGCCCATACAGAAATGCCCCATCTCTGCAGCTTTTTGTTTCCCATAGAAATGGGGAATGCCTCAGACCTGGCACATCCTGAGCGCTTCTCAGAAAAGCATCTGTTTTTCAGAGACCCATTTTCTTCTGGGGTGGGGCCGATCTCAAAGATATCACACGCCTTGGCAGAGTCCCGTTTGCTGCAGAGGAGCACAGGCACTGAAATCAGTACTTAAAATACAGGATTGCATTGGAGAATTGGGTATCGTTTCTGTGTAGGCACCAGCACAGGAGCAGCAGGAGGGCCACCCCACCCTCTCTGAGCATCTGGCACCGATGGGGACGGTGCCACCCGCGGGCTGGAGCCGAGCACGTCCCGGGAGCGGCGGAGGGAGGGGAGCAGCGGGACACCCGCAGAGCCTGGGGCTGCCTGGGACACGGGGGATCCCCCGCCGCCCCCGCTCACCTTTACTCAGCTGCACCCGCTTGAACTCGAAGGGGATGTTGTTGGCCCGGGCGAAGATGTAGAGCGCCCGGCAGGGCTGCGAGAGCAGGTCCAGGTACAGCTCCAGCCCCATCGTGTCGCTGCTGCTGCCACCGCCGCCTGTTCCTGTTAAATCCCGTCCCGGCCGGTCCCGCCAGCACCGGTCCCGCCCCAGCCGGGGCGGAGCGACAGAGCCCGGGGCTCCCCCCGGGGCCGTGCCTGACACAGGACAGGGCTGGTGCCACCCGGGCAAAGTCTGCACTGGGCTCTGCCACCTTCCATCTGCTGGCTTATCGGCTTGTCCCGATAACTCCCCTTAACGATAAAGAAGCCAAAGCTCGGCTGAGGGGACGCGAGAGGCAGATGCTGGCTTTGCCCGTGGGAGATCACAGCTCTTGTACAAGAGGACTTTCCATTCCTGTGACTCCAGCACCAGCCCAGACACATATGATACGGAAAAACAACTTGAGAACAAGAACTCACAGCAGGAGAACACACACTGCTTCATTGCTATGAAACAACCTTGCTCCTATCTTCACAACATTCAACCACCATTTCCAAAACCCATCCCTTCAAGATTCCCAGCTTTCAATCACTTATTGCTAATGCCAATGTGTGCATTTATTGCTAATACCAATGTGTACATTTATTTTGCTTTTCAAAAAAGTAAGCCAGAGCTGGAGCCATTCCTGCTGGAGGAAAAGCAACCCTTGGAGAATAGTTGCAGGCCACAGCTACATGGCAGCTCTGCAGCTAAAATTGCCATGGCATGTGTCAAATACAGACTTGGGACTTGAAGTGACACAAGCTGGCTCCAGGATACTCATATTAGACATCAGACATTTCAGTCTGCATTAACATCAATCTACACTTAATAATACCTGCTGTTACCTCTAGCACAGAACATTGGAGGGAAACAACATTGGCAAGAAAAGGACAAGGCACAAGCCTGTAACAGTGAAAAGTCCTCTTAATATCTCCATCCCTAATTATAAAATATCCTGAGTTGGAAGGGACCCACAAGGATCGTCAGGTCCAATTCCTGAGCCCAAGAATCTTTATTAGACACTGTTTTAAAAATATATATATTATTTAATATTTACTTAAAAGTTGGAGTCACTGCAGCCTAGAGCAGCTCTTCAAACACATTTCTGCTACAGGCACTACACAGGTGTTTATGCATTTGCAGACAGACAGAACCATTGTCCCAGCACAGCAGTGAGGGCCCAGCCCTCACCACTGAAGGACAGCACTTCCATCAGGCTATGCTCAAGAGCTGGTGGTAATTCTCCATATGCCAGCAGGATACAATGCAAAGTCCTCTTCAAGACAACCTGTATCTCAAAAGTCATCTCTTTTTTTTTTTTTCTCTTTTAAACCAGTAACTGAACTCTGTCCACAGTGTCCTCGAAAGAGGAAAAAGGCCTGTAATAGCTGACTTCAGATATGATAAGGTTGAGGAACCATTGAGGGACCATGACTCAGTGTTGCTGTGTTGGGGAGCAGTCCATGGCCTGTCCCACGCAGCAGCTTCAGCCATCTCAGCTTCCATTCATTCAGGCTCGTCTCTGTGCTCGCTCGTTCTGTTCAAAATTAAAGTTGAGAAGGTGACTGAAGATGCCCCTGTCTCAGAGTCACACAGAAGGGACTTCAGGGAGGAATAGGACAATTTAATAATCCTTTCTGTCCCAGTTCTCAAATATTCCTAGTCTACAACTCAAAATCATCATTTTTCAGGGCCAGGTATTTCTAAGTTCTCAGATTAGAGAGCAGAACACTTGCCCAATTCATGCAGCACAAAGTCTATTAAGGATCCCTAGTCCACCCATCTGGCAAGGTAAATGCTACCCTGCTTTTGTCTCAAAGCTCTCAACTTCACACTGCTGTACAAAAAAGGGCCTGAAGATATCTGTACATAAAGTCTTAAACTCTGTAATGACAAAAGGTTTAATCTCTGCATTTTGCTTGGAGTCCTCTGGGTAGCTGTCAATACCCCAGCTACAGAGGTAGTAAAGAGAAGGGCAGAATAGAAAAAACCCCACCAAAAATCAGAATTGTTTTGGTTGAAAAAGACCCTTAAGATCATTGAATCCAACCATTTACTGCCAAACCTACCACTAAATCACATCCCCAAGTGCAACACCAGCACATCTTTTAAACCCCTCCAGGAACGCTGCCCAACTTTGACAGAAAATCTCTTTCTCCCCTCCACACCCTTTCTGAGTATTTCATAACGATGCACCCACAAATGTTGCCTTCACACTGAATTGTACTGTCTCAGACAAAGGAAAGGATCCTGGACAGTAATACTTGTGCTAAGCATGAACTGCAATAAAAAAATCAATCTGCAACTTGTACAGTTTATTTTCTTCCCCATTTCAATTACCTTGACCGTCTTCTCGAGCTTACACAGAGCTCCCTCATATTGCTGCACCAATGGCTTCAATGAGTTGCCCTTCACTGGGTGTTTCTTTATATCCTGGATGCCAGCATCCCTCAACATCTGCAGGAACCGCCGCTCCTGCACAAAACAGACACTGGGGATGAGACACCCCACTGCCTATCAGCTAGAAAATGAGCACATTTGGGAACATGCTGCTTAGGCAGAAAATAATTGAAGTTTCCAAGCAAAAAGCTCAGCTGACTGGAAAAGGTGGGAAGTTCATGATCCTTATGCCCCTTATTATCCTTATCAAATGAATCCCACACCAAAGACATACCTGAATTCTAAGGACCAAGCTGAAAGCAACACCTGTTTCTCCTGCACGAGCTGTTCTTCCAACCCTGAAAACAGAAAGTAGCTTCAAGTCAGTTTAGGCCCATAGTCACTGCCATCATCAACTCCAAGATTCTGATGTTGACATTGTCCAGTTTTAAGAAAGACTGATTCCAAGCAATGCTCAGCTTAGTTTTTAGCTAGAAAACTATTTGCATATTAAAGTAAAATGAAAAGCTAAAAGCCCTTTTAAGTGCATGCCACCTTTGCTAAATATTTCAAAACAAACCAAGCTCAGACATCTTTGTTTTGTTCCTGTTGTCTTACCGGTGAATGTAGGTCCTGATGAACTGTGGTGCATCATAGTTTATCACATAATTCACTCTTTTAACATCAATTCCTCGGGCTGTGGCATCTGTGCTGATTAACCTGTTTGTAAATGTATACATAGTTCATTTTCAGGTAACATCTCAAGCACTACAGACACAAATGAAACACAAGTGAACACAGCACAACTCTGGCTAGTCTCTGTTCAAACTGGACAGTCAACCTCTGCCTCTAAGCCTGGCAGCAACACTGCAAGTCACTCCTAATTGCCACTGGCCTTATTAGCTGCCCACAGACCTCCAAGCATCGCTACAGGCTTGTCACCCTCTGCTGAACGTGAGAAGTTACTGGGTGTTTCCAGGTTCTCCAAGCATGCCAGATGCCTCCCAGCTCACTGGAGCTCACAAATCTCTAAGGAATCTGAGCATTCCATATAAGCATTGAACACAAATAGTGAGATAAGGAATTCCAGTAGTCAAGGAGGAATTTATACACCAGGTTTGGATAGAGAACACACAGAAAATAAGTATTTACCTTTTCCTCAGAGACATTCTACAGATACAATCTCATATTGCTACCAAAACCACAATGCAAATCAAACACATGGAGAGAAGTAGATCTGTATGCCAGTCTGAGCAGGGATTGCTTCAGTAGGAAGCTCTAACAATAAATACAGGTTCAGCACCAACATCCATTTCTGCCCTAGCAAGTACCAGATGCCCAGCACAAACATTAAACTCCAGATTTGCAAACCTCTGTGTTTTGGGCACACATTTGTATTTATTGCTTGTTATGAAACACCACACAGAAATTCAGACTGCAGCTAGATTGGAACAGGCTGAGTTACATGAAGGATAAACAATTCAAAGACACAAGTCCAAGTCTCACACCCATTCTGCAACAGACTCCTGCATACTCCATTTTAGAGGACCCCCTGTAACTGTGTCCTAGTTCTGCTTAGCTTTTTACACTGGAAACAGCCTGGAAAACATACAGGAAACTAGTTTAATATGCTCACAGTTGTATTTTTCCTTGTTCAAACTCCTTCATGGTTCTCTTTCTCTCATTTGGAGCTAACCGAGAAGAAAACTCTGCCACCGTGACTCCACCAAAGGCTTGAACCAGCAGGAACAACCTGCAGGTAAACAGGAGAGAAACTGTCACTCCCCTACCTCTGTAAGATCCCTTGACAGATACCTGCAACTGTGATCTCATTAATGTTTACCTGTGAGAGGCTTCCCTGGAGTTGGTGAAGCACAACACGCGGGTGAATTCCATTTTCAGCATGAAATACAAGAGGAGCAAAGGCTTGGAATTCAGGTCACAAGGCACGTAATATTGCTGTAGAGAACAGGGAAGGAGTTCAGAGAGAAATTACTTCTTGCCAAGACTATCTTCCCTGAAACCCACTACCCATCCATGACCTACACAGGCTTGCATGTTTTATAGCTGACTAACAGCAGCAAAACCAGAGCCATAATGCCACCCTCTTTAGAAGAAACAGGCTGGCAGGATACAACACAAATGGAGACAGGAGACCTGAGCTGTTCTAATGCTCTTACAGCTCCAGGGAAAGTAACAACATGCACTGCCTTCCTGCCTACAGGCTGGCCTGTATATACATGTCTTGAAATGAATGCTAGACATAAGGACAATTGATAGGTGCTACTACATTATTATGACTTCCTAGTTCCACTCTGCATTGCTGCTAAACTTAATTCCACATTAAGAGAGGTTAATTAAAATAATAATCGAGTCTTAACCAAATGAACATTAAGTAGTGAGAAAACAAATGTGTAAAGATACAGCTCTCTGGGTCATATATACTCCCAAAGCCACTTTTGCATGGAAACACAGGAAAGACATATTTGTTTTAGGGTGAAACCACAACTAGATAGTCCCAAATTAAACACATCTTCAATTATAACTTATTCAAAAGAATTCACATCATACCGATAGCCCCTCAGGGAGAGTGTATTTATTGTTAGTATCTTGTTCAGTTTCTGTTCCATCTCCATTTTTCTCAGAATACACAGATGAGAAGAGACGAGGCTGGAATAAATCCAGCTGCTGCAATTTCTCTGGGTCCTGGGTCAGTGTGGCTGAAAACAGCAGTTTCTGTAAGGGTATCTGAGGAGAGCAGGAACTGAAAGAAACAGCACACAGAAACTGGGCTTTAAGGATGGGGCAAAGGAGTTTCACCCCAAGTGCCTTCACATGATATAATGGAAACAATGAATGCTCTCTGATGCTCTTTTCCTGCCCTGGGCCCTTCCTGTAGGTTCTTTTCCACCCTTGTTTTATGGTGGAGTTCACAGACAGAACTGATGAGCGTTCTCAGTCAAGTGCACAACCCAAATTCATTACTCCTGCTCAAGTCCCTGCACCCTGGTTACCCATGCCCTCATTCTAGTCATGTTCTTCCTTGGCCATGCATCTCAGTTTCTGACATCTCTGCCATTGCTGTACAAAAACAGCAGCTGCAGATAGTTAATTGCAAGAGTTTTCCTCCAAATCCATTACTCAGCTTTACCAGAAGGCATTACTATAGTTACTGTGCAAATGGATCACAGATTTGCAGTATTTGTGCATTCTTTTGATGCTCCTTTAGTCTAAATAAGGAAAGCCTGGAGAATACAATATTTAGTCTGAAGGACATCCTCTGGCATCACCTGTTCACTGCCCTGTTCTCTTCTGAGACATTTCTCAGAGGAATCAAGCTTTGAGAGTGTGTGTGTGGCAGTGTACAGTGGAGCAGGGCAGTGACATCCAGGTGCTGCTGTCCATACTATCAGTTCAAAGAAATGCACTCTGCAACTTACCTGGCTGCTGTTACAGGCCCTGGTTTGGTTCTTTGAAAAAGCATGTTGGAGCCAGAGTCATTTTCTCCTCGGAATGCAGCTTTGACAATTTGGTTCAGACAGTTCTGGTGCATGTCATCAATCATACGGTCAGCTTCATCCACAATCTGAATTCACAAGGATAAAAACCACCACTTGTTAAATACTGGGAGCTTTTATTTTCCTTTGTATCTGTAACCAGTGAGCCAGAACATATGATAATGGAAGCTTCTAGTCAATAGAATTGCATTCCTTGCCCATCCTTACTCCAAGTTTGCAAGAGCCTAAGAGAGAAGGGGAAGTGGGTGGATGCTTGGGTGTCACGAGTTGGAACCAAACATCTCATCTTGTGACTGCTCCCTGCACAATCTGGAGCGCAGACAGGCCCACACAACAGTTCCAGCAGAGAGGTATTTATGTTCCACACAAGAAGCAAGTAGGAATTGCTGCTGTAGCAGGCACTGCACTCGGATGGGAGAGCTGTGGAGGTGACTCACCAGGAAGCGAAGCTGTGTCAGGCTGAAGCCCGGGGTCTGGTTAATGTGATCCGTGAGCCTCCCTGGTGTTGCCACGACAATGTCAGCCAGGCTGCAATAGCCTGTCACTCTGAAAGGACAAGCAGCCCATCAGTAAGTCTCTCTTCACAATAAAGCCTGTAGCAGAGACCTTAAGAAGGAGACCTTAAGGTTTTCCTACCACTCAATTAACTGAGGAATAACAAAATTCACATATGGTCTTGACACTGGAGAGCATGCAGGGGCAGTGGTGGACACTGAACACCAGTCTCCACTGTGCTGTCTTATTTTAAACAGAAAGTGTCATTCCTCATTGCTCTTCAAAAAAGTTTAATTGCAGCAAACTCCCACACAGTCATGTACCCGTGGGCACAAGGTAAACGTTTGCATTCTGAGCATTTGCTGGTGAAGAGCCCCAAAAATCTAGGAAAACATTATAATGACAAAATGAGGGTAGTAACAAGCACTGTGACAAAGACAGAACCACCAGAGTCCAACATATAAAACCATTACCCAAAATCATGATAGCATGGTGCCGTGCTGCAATAGTCTGTATCTTGACCCCACCTTAATGAGATTAATTAGCTTGCAATCTCTATAAACCTTGTCAAAATACCTTTTAACCTACTTTTTCTGGACAAGCATCTCCTGCTCCTTTGCAAAAGATTTCTGGCCAGTAATCAAAACGACCTTCAGACCTGTCCCATCAGTGTACACGTTGAACACTTTACTCACCTGCAAAGAGATGGGTTTTGTCAGCTGCCACAGAATCAGCTGCAGTAAATACTTTCCATTGCATGAACAGCATCAAACCCACTGGCAGGTCTTCAGTCTGCTTCACAGAACAGCCAAAGGATTGGCTGCACCAGCCTGTCCCTCAGCCCAGCTCTGCTCAGAGCCGGTGAGGAGCCACATACCTGCTGTGCCAGCTCTTTGGTGGGCAGAACAACCAGAGCTCGTACGTGGCAAACCACTCGATCTAACAGAACCTGCCAAAATAAAGGCCAAGTGAGTCCCTGAAAGAACAGGGGAGAGCAGAGTTCTTGAGCCTAATCTAGCAAGAGAAGATGGGCTTGACACATTCTCACAGTTTTATGTTTCCATTTTTCTCCCTCTACTCTTCCAACTCCTCACGCTGTGCCTGCTGTCTGGAAAAGGAGTGGGATGCTGACAGAAGCTCCCTCAGACAGCTCTGAGCTGAAAATCTGACGCCTTATGTCCACAAATGCCTTGGCTTTTTGACCTACTTTTGAGTTCAGGCTTTGCTTGAACAAAAGTAACGCCAGCATTTCCCCCAGAGACACTTCCCTGAGGATAAACTCACCTGTACAATGGGTATGACAAAAGACAGGGTCTTCCCACTGCCTGTGGGTGCTGAGACACAGATGTCCTTGGGGCGGTATCCTCCCCTCCCCATCAGGTAGCCATTGGAGGCACTCTGGAGAATGGCAGGAATCACCTCTGCCTGGACTGAGCAAAACCAGAAATAAACACAAACTGTATGCTTAATGAACTCACCAATAACTGAAAATGTTATAGAAAAGCATTTTTGAAGTTAGAAAATGTGTGCTGGCTTCCCAACATAACCCTGACAAGCCTCTGACACAGCCTAAGTCTCCAGGCTCAGTGGGACTAAGGTCACCCTCTATCCTTATCCTTGCATCCAGCTGTCCTTTAATCGATTTAAGAGCCAACATTTATTGTACTTATTTGCAAAACTGGCAAAATACCAGAAAACAAAAAGATTTCTTCTTTTTCTCTGGGTATTTTGCTGGTGCTTTAATGAGCTGAATGAGTTCCCAGAAAGCTCTGATCAGCAGCAGAGCTGGTGGAAAATCAGGAGCTAAAACACAAGCTTCCACAAGGAGGAAGACTGTGAGGACCTAAGTAAGACTTCCCTCTTTGGGCAGCTCTGAGCTATTACTCCAATCTGTCTTTATGAGTAGGCAACAGACTTTTACTCAGCCTAGACAAAACTTTGAGAAAGGAGGGTTAAATCTGCTGCAATCACTTTCATGCATTACATTTCATCCTGTATTTTACTTCACTGCCTACATAAAATATCCAGCACCAGACTGCAGGAACTCTGTAAACCCCTCTAGAAAGAAACAAAAGCACTATCAAGGCACCTGGAAAAAAGGACTCTATTCCATTCATTTGCAGCTTTTTCAGCAGCCGGGGGTGGATTCCTGGGACGTCTCTGACTGGACACAGATTATCTTTGATGCGTTTCTGCACCCGTTTGGGTTGAGCAAGCCACTGTGGTAAGAAGGGCTGGACCTGAGGCGAGGGAAGGGAGAGTATGGCAATACCATATGGAAAATGAAGAATGTAAGAAGCATTCTTTTCCTAACCATCATCAAAATTCAGTCAAGCTGGTTACCTTCTGCACTGGCTTTTCCTCGTAGTCTCCCAGAATCATCATACTGGAGGGTGGACAATTTGCCTCTTCCCTTGAGGCTACTAAGGGCAGCTCCTCCTTTGTAGTTTGATTTCCTTCAGCTTTTTCACTGCTCTCTTTCTTCCCTGTTTCATCTCCTTGTGCTTCCTCATCTGTCTTCTTCCTTTTATTAGACTTGTTTTTAAAGTTGTTTTTGTTTTCCTGTTGTTTGATGTATTCTTCAGAATCTGGAATTTGGATAACAGCAATACAATGCTACAGATCAGAGCATACCACAGAAAAGGGATGTGGCAATATTACAACACAGGACTTAAGCAACAACTTCCAAGCTCTTTTTTCCTAAATCCAAGTGCAGAAGTCAAACATTGCTTTGTTGGTATAGATGCAACAAGACTGAGGTAATGTGACATGCTTCCCTCCTCCCCTTACACTAAACTGATCCTCAAAGTTTGCAATATAGGGCCTTTCCTTAAAACAAAAAGAAATTTGGAACGTATTAAAGAGATGAAAAGAAAATCAAGTAAACTGGGAAAGGTACTCAAAGGGAAACTCGTGTCCGTTTTTCTGTGGAAACAGTCAACCACAGTGAACTGAAATCCTACAGCCTCACTTTATCCTTACCTGCTTCAGTCCTCTCTCGCTGCACTTTCGATTTTCTTCTATTTGCTTTCTTCTTTGTGGGGCTGCTGCCATCTGCTGCCTCCTCAGTTCCAGCCCTTTCCTCCGATGAGCTGCGGGGCTGTTGTTTTGTCTTTAGCTTCTGTCTATGCGCATTGGGCTGCTCCTCACTGTCCCTCTTCCTCTTTCCCTTCCCTTCGCCGGGCTCCCCCCCGGGGCTCAGCCCCTCGCCCCCTGGGCCTTCCCTTCCCTCGGGCTGCGCCTCTCGCTGCTTCTTCAGCTGCCGGGCCCTCGCCTGCTGCTGTAGCCGCTCCAGCAGGACCCGCGCCCGGTCCTCCTCCTCCTCCTCCTCCCGCTCGTCCTCCGCGCCGTACCTGGAACAGCCCACACGAACCTCCTCAGGCACGACCGCCCGCACAGACCTCCGGGCAGACACCCCGGCCCAGCCCGGGGCTGAGGCAGCCGGAACAGGGGCAGGGGAAGGGTGCAGGAGGGGAACAGGAGGGAAGCAGGAGCAGGGAGGGGGAGCGGGAGCGGGGCCGTGCCCGCGGTACCTGCGGATGCAGAACAGCGCCATGGCCACGCCGCCACGCGCGGGGATGACGTCATCATGCCTCGCCGGGGAAACCTCCGGAAGGCGCGGGGCGGCTGCGCCCCCTGCCGGCTGGGGTGGGGCAACCCCCTGAGGGGAGAGGCGGGAACCCAGGCCGGGAGCCTCGGGGCGGGACAGCGGAGCGCCGGTGAGGGACAGCGGAGCATCACTGAGGGACAGCACAGCTCCAGTGAGGGACAGCGGAGCATCACTGAGGGACAGCACAGCTCCAGTGAGGGACAGAACACAGTGCCAGTGAGGGACAGCAACACAGTGCCAGTGAGGGACACAGCGCCGCCAGCCAGGGACAGGGCACAGCGCCCTTGAGGGACAGCACAGCTCCAGTGAGGGACAGAACACAGTGCCAGTGAGGGACAGCACAGCGCCGGTGAGGGACAGCCAACCCAATCCATGCTCATGTGTGCAACAGGGCACAGCTCCAGTGAGGGACAGGCTGGCAGAGCGCACTGAAGCTCCCCACAGTGCTGCCGGCCCTACAGAGCTTCCACGGCACTGAGGGCCATCCCCGCTGCCTGGAGCAGGCAGTGTCAGCAATGTGGATAACAGCATTTCCCCTCAGTGAGGAAAAGCTCTCCTTCCTTGCTCATTTGGCCACACACAGGTGGCACATCCTCAGAGGAAAGCTGCCCTGAAGCAGCAAGCAGAGGGCTGGTCCAAGGACTGCAGCAATAGGAGACACAGTCCAAAAATAAACCTGGATCAGCAACCCTGGTCAGCAGCCCTGAACCACCTTACCTACAGCAAGGTAAAAATCACTGGAGTGCTTGTCAGAAGCCAGCCTCAGGGACCACCACCACAGTGTGAAATAATGTGTCTAAGAAACACCAGCAAACCCAAAACATTCCTTTTGTTTGCTCTAGGATCAGAGCGAAACATGTTAGCAGTTGTGCAACTGCATCCCCAACCAGCCAAAGCCTACACCACACAGCTTACTTCTAAATCTTTATTTGTTTTCTACACAGAGAAAACAGAGGAATGTTGAAGCAGCAATATTTAAACACACTAGCAAGGAGCCATCAATCTGTGAGAGTGCACAGAGTGCAACACGGGGCCATTTGTGCCGTGGTCTCTGCTAAAGGGCAGGGTGAGGGGAGGTCCAGGAACAGCCTCTTCAGACAGACAGCAGAGCTCTACGCAAAGGTGGAGCCATTCCAGCCAACATTGGCAGCATTCATGTCGAAGTAGTTGATGTAGACCCTGCAGAAGGAGGAAATAATGACCCCATTAACTCATTTATGTAAGTCACGACAACACAACAGGGGAGAGTGCTTCCCATTCTTCTGCCTGAAAAAACATCAAGCTTCATTTTTACCATAAATCTCGTGGAGCCTTCGAACAGCCAGTATTTCTCAGTCCTCAAAATTGTACTTTTTCTGTTTTAAAACTCAAATTCTTCTGCAGTCAGGGACTGTCCAGACACCAGAGAGCTTTTGTTTAGCAGCCTGTCAAGGATTTCCAGAGATCAGCCCTTTTTGTTTCTGAGCAATGCTCAGTTCCTCACACATGTCACACAGACTGGCAGCCTTGCAGAGTTAAGCAGGCCCTCAAAGCCAGGCTCTGCAGATCTCCCTTCAACCCCCACAACACCAGGTTCTTCCCATCTTTCACAGCTGCACACAGACACTCTCCCAAACGCTGCAGCCTGCAAGGGAGCTGCTCACAGCCTGCTGGCTTCTGCTTTTGTCTCTCATCTCCAGCCTGTTACTACTCCTTGCTTGTGCTTTCAGCCTTGTTTCCCCAGAGGATGAGACATCACACTTCAAAGGAAAAGACACACTGGACAACTTGTCAGTGCTCTGGTGTTTTTCCCTACTCTCAGAGCAGAAAGACATTGATCAGAGGACACTCCAGGGAAACAGGCACCAAATTCTTCTGTGGACATGAAAGTGCTGCAAGCAATCACTTGGTATTTTCCAAAACACGTGGACTTACTCTTGGCTTTTTAATTTTTTAAATAGACTTTTCAAAGCAGTGTCAGAAAGCCAGACAAATATGGTTAAACTGTGTCCCAGCCTTACCTGTCTGCAGATACGTGCAAGTGCTTTGAGATCAGATCACACAGCATCTTGGTGTAAGTCTTGTTCTGCTGCCCTCCTATTTTGCCGATGCTGTAGAGGCTGCAGAGCGCGCAGGGATCAGTGGAGCCCCCAAAGGACATCATCTGGTCAGGTATGATGTGCACAGCTATGTACTGTGGGAGGGAAACACTCCGTTACAGGCTGTCTGAACTGCCCTCTCCCGACGAAAATTTGCTTTAGGTACCAACTCTAAGCAGGGCAGTTGTATTGGGATCAGGCAGCTCTTCAGTGCTGGCCTCTGCGCACTTCCCAGGCCCAGGGGAGGCTCAGGACCGGCAGCTCCCGGGGTGGGGGGCACGGCCCTGGGGGCTGCGGGGACCCTCGGCCCGGCTCTCAGCTTTAGGAACGCGGTTATGGTGCACAAAGCCACCGGCGAGCCAGGCACTCCTGCCCGCCACAGCCTCGCCAACGAGCGGGGCGGAGCGAGAGAAGGGCCCAAAACCTGTGCATGCGTGCCGGAGCTCACATCCCCAAATCACGGAGCGAGACGCGGGGCCTGCCGGAGAGCCGGGCACAGATTCGGTCTTATCGGGCTCGGCTCCTGGGGCGCTGCGGTGGCTGAGCCGCCGGGAGCCGCCCGGAGCGCTCGGTCTGTCCGAGCCTCTGCGCGGCTCCGCCGCTCGAATCGCGACCGCCGGCACAGGCGCAGCACATCCCCGGCTACGTGAGCGCCGCGCTCCTGCAGGCCCGGCTGCTGCTCCAGGCAGGGGCCGCGCATCGGGAGGCTGGGCACCGCGGGTGCGGCGGGCACAAGCTCCTTCCCCCGGGGCAGCCGCGCTGTGCCGCAGCTGCTCCCTCGTTGGCCGCGGCCCGCCCGCCGCAGCGCGAGGGAGCGGAGATGGCCCAGGGCCGCCCCTCCCGCCGGACACGTGCTCGCCCCGCTCCCGGCCCCGCCGCCCGCCCTCACCTGCGCGGGCTTGCCAGTGGCCTTGGCCAGCTGCTGGGTGAGGTCGCCCAACAGGCTGTCGGGCACGGCGTCCTTGCAGACATTGGTGTAGATAGCGAACATGGGCATGGTGGCGGCGGCGGCGGGGGCGGCGGGGCCGGCGATGGAAGCGTACCCGAGCGGCGGGAGCAGCACAGCGGAGTGGCTACGGAGGCGTCAGCGGCGCTTTTAGTGCGAGGGGCCGCCCCGGACGTGCAGCGGCCCCGCCCGGCAGGGAGGGCAGGGAGCGGGGCGGGGACACACCACACAGCGGCTCCTGGGCGGCAGCAGACGCCTCCGGGGGCAGGCTGCTTTCAACAGAGGTCTGCCCGCTCCGCCGTTATTCCTTGGCTTTGTTACTGCTGCTGAACATATTTTGAGGGTTTGTTGCAGGCTCCTTCCTGGAACGGAGTCCGGGCGCGCTGGGTAGCTCATACGTAACCTGGTACCAGCACATGTGATACTACCGCTGTAGCGCTCCCACTGGTTTCTGCGGGATCAGGGCCAGAGAGGGATGTAGGCCTCTGCTTGGCAATTGCGAAAAGGGATACTTACTTGCCCTGGCTCCGAGAATTTTTTTCTTTTGCAAAATTAACAGTTGTAGAGGTTTTGCTTTAACTGTGTACAGCTTTAGCTCGATGTAGTTAGAAACGTCTGCCTCTGTTACCATATTAATTATTCTCTAATTTATTTTAGTCAAATTAAAAATTACCTATTGCTTCTCAGCCTCCCTATTTTCAGATCATATTTTTCCACTGGAAAAGGGCAGAAGTGAATTTTGTTTTGCTTAGGAATGAAGTGGTGCGTGCCTATTGGGAGGCGAGAGGCAGCAGAGCCGAGCGCTATGCTGGGCTGTGTGATGTGATGCACGTAGGCTGCCAGGGCACGGCTCCCCACCCCTGACTCCTGCTTGTCCCGACGGCGGCAGCGCTGCTCTGCTGCACAAAATGACTCACAGGAAGGCTAAAGAGGATCAGGCCCGGAGCCCTCTCCACCCAGACATTTCACACACAACAATCATGCACTGCTGATGCTGCTAGAAAACCTGCCCATATGTACATACTACATATGTGAACACTCATGGCTCTGAATGAGGAGTAAGGGAAGGTAACATACGGGAATGCATTGGAGTGACACAGGTTATAATGCTGAGAGCTGGAGCACTTCCTACTCTAGTTATTAACAGCGCTTAAGAAAGTGACTAAGAATCGATTAAGTTTCCTCCCTCTGATATCCTCAGCTCCCTGCCATTGCATAGTCACATTTATTCCTCTCACCTTCCTGCCTCCCAGATTTATTGCATGGAGGTGGAGTGGGAATTCTACCTGTGCAGGGAGTAAAGCTTGAGAGCAGTGTCACCACTGGTGTGCTTGTCCTGTGGCTTGCCAGGCCCAGAGTGGCAGCCCCTGGCTCTGCTGCCACACAGTCTGCAATTTCATTCTCTTTTGCCTCCCTGACTAAGAAAATCTTTCACCAATGCAGCTTCCATCTGTTATCCCAACAAAGCATTTTTGTTGTTTGAGGTATAGGTCTGTATTTAGAAAGTCTGTGGCTGCAAAGCAAAGCTGTGGTAGGGACACAATGAGATGTTAACAATAGAGTTCAGAACAGGGGTGTGATAAGGTTTGCTCTTCCAGAAAAAAAATCATAATACACTTAACTATAGAATTTCAGGATACTGAAATACTCGGTCTTTTATTTTACTTTGGAAGCAAATGATTTTATCTGACCAAGGGCTTTAATAATAAATATTTGTATGCAAATCTTCCTTTCATAATTAATTTACCACTTCAGTCCCTAGGAATGGCTTACTGTGGCTTGCTGTGCCTCTGCCTCATTCTGAGCTGTGCTCTAATCTTCACTGTCACTACAAATTGTTCAATGGATGAAAAGGGGAGGGCACAGCAGCGAACAGTGGTTTTTTCCACTCACTCCCTCTGTCTGTGCTGAGCCCTGGGAGACTCACAGCACAAGTTTTTCTGCTACTCGGCCAGATATCCCTGTAGTGGTAGGCCTAAAGAGGACCTGGACTGCAATCCATCTCTTTTAAATAAGAGGTAATCATGTCTTTGCTCCTTTTGAAGGGAGGTCCATCTCCAACATTTGTAGCCACATTTATTAACATTTATAAATCTTGAAACCAAGTCAAGATATAGTTATATTTTCTTGAAATTTTGCTCTTGAGCATGGACAGGGCAAAGGCAAAAGAGGTGTTCATCTTCATAAATGACTAAACTTTTTTTTGAAAGGAAAGCTTCTGTCCAAGAGTATTTTGAGAAAGCACCGTCCATCTCAACTACAGGCCTTCCCAGAGTAACAAGAAGGTCTCAGTCATGAGATTTCTGCTGCGTTTTTATTTAGGCAGCAGGCAAGATGTTAAATAGCATTGGGTAGCAGCAACTAAGTTACCAATGCCTCTTGAATTTGGCAAATGCCAGAAGGTGACTAGAACTGCAGTTCTCAAACCACAGTGAGGTTTCAGGAATAAGATGTGATCACCCCAGGGCACCTCAAGCAAAGGTGGTGTTATTCCAGCCCACATTTCCAGGACTGATGTCAAAGAAGCTGATGTAGATTCTGAAAGGGAAGGCAGGCACCATTAGCAGCTGAGAGCAGAGTGCTGCAGGCTGGGCAGGGTGCTCCTGCACCAGGACACACAGCCATGCTGCAAATCTCCCTTAGGGCTTTATCCTTCTCAGGCCTTACACTCCCTTCCTCCTGCCCTTTTTAATGCCATATCTACTTGCATTCTGGAGTTCCTAGTGATCAAGTTATTGTGTCTGTACCTGGTCTTTTGCACATGATACCTGTGGGTACATACAGTGCCTGAACCTACATCATTTTAACCAAGGAATTCTGCAGCTTCTGGACATCAGCATTGGAGCTCATGCAATGGCTCCTTTTTTCTCTTTAGCTGGGGAGTTGCTCAGTTGACTTGGCATTTAACCTCCCCAGTCAGCACATTAATAGAGAACGCCAAAAGACCAGCCTGGGATGAATAGTTTTAACAATCTGTGGAAAGTCACGTCAGAGAAGTGGCTGTATGAGCTCACCTGTCAGATGGTATTTTCAGCTTTTTGTTCAGCAAGTCACAAAGCAGTTTGGAGTAGACCTTGTTCTCCTGCTCCCCTACCTTTCCAGTGCTGTACAGAAAGCATGTAGCACAAGGGTCTGTGGAGCCACCAAAGGACATCACCAGATCAGGGGAGATCTGTATTGCTAGATACTGTTGGAAGAAGAAAATTAATGTTGTTTTTTTTTTTTTGCTGTATTAAGAAAAGTTTTGAAAATTCAGGAAGGCATTTCTGTACTGAAACTGCAGTGAAAATAAATGCATGTTTTTCATATGTAAGGCTTTCATTTGTTGACATCTTACTGTCTACATTTGCATTCTACTCCGAGATATTCACTGCTGTGTCAAAGGCCAGTACAAAGACTCCGTAGATTTTAGGCTTCTGAGTCCAGGTGCTCCAGGAGTCATTATAGTTCATTATTATTACAGGTCATTCCAGTGACCTGTAATATCTCCAGCTCCTCCTCTGAGCCACCAGACTCTCCCTGCCTGTGTGGGAAGGTCAGGGTGAGGGGGGTGCGCAATGGTACCACTGCCGCATTGCGTTCCAGAGAGATTTTGCACCTCACTGGCTCCTGCTGCAGTCTTCCCTGCTGAGGTAAATGTGAACTGACACAGCAGAGGCCTAAATCAACATCCCCCTCATTAAACAAAATACAGCCTAATCCTGCTTTTGTTCTTGATATCAGGAAAAACAGAAGAAAGTATCTATGTTAATGTTAATGACCAGCCCGCGATTTTCCCCGCTGCTAATACACAGTGTCAGATCCACACACTGGGGAATCTAGGGATCAGTTCCTCTGGCATTCATCTGCCTCCTGTGCTGTTCTTACCCACGTTTATTAGCAGCGCATCGTTGGAAGTCGGCAGCAATTAACGCTCTTGGTAAAACAAGCTAGCCTGAGTACCAGGAGTTGTCTGGGTAATTAGTCTTGGCCATCATTTACAGTTTGTTTGGGTGTAAGGTGCATCAGGCCACAGCAGTACAGGATAAGCCAAGGAGATCCTGCTGAGGTACCACTTGCTCAGCCCTGTTCTCCCCTGTCTGGACACCATGTGCTCTCAACTTTATGCCAAGTGTAGGTACATCCACGCCTTTAACATCTACCCAGGGAGCAGGTTATCACTATTAAAAGAAAAATTGAGTTGAAGCATTAATCAGCATTATTTTCTTAGAGTAGTTTGAAAATATTTGGAACAGTTCTTCCAGTAGGAAAAAACCCTATTTGATTAAAAATCTGCATTTTTCTGAAGTGGTACAGTTTCCTGTGCGAGGAAAGCTCTGCATTCCATCCCACCCTAATCCTTTCCTTCTTTCTGTGTTATAACTAAAAGGCTCTCCCCTTCCTATTGCCTCCTTTGTCACGAAGAGCTTGTATGCCCTCTTCAGAAAAATCTCTTTGTTATTCCCTGTATATTTCTAAGTCTCATTACATATCCCTTCCACACAGCTGCACAAACCTGTTCCAGCTGCATCCCAGCCCTGGCCTCTAGCTTTATATTCAGAAGCTGTTATGCAAGACACACCCCTTGCCCCCCCCCACCGGCAAGTACTTGTTTGCTAGACTGATAAAAGTTGTCTTTTTTTTAAGTAGGGATAGAACACATCAGTTTTACATAAGAATTTGACCTGTTCAGGTGTCCCAGTGCATAGAGAAAAGTTTGCTGGGGAGCCCTTTCTGTAGGCACCAAAACTTTCTTCTTTCTACAGTTAAAGCATCACTCCCACAGCAAAATAAATATTTTCTGAAAATGGGCTCATGAACAGGCAGAAACGGTGCCTAAACAAGCAGCTACAGATCCATAGCCAATTTTACTGCTGCTACAGCAGCTGAGGTGTAGCTCATGTTCTGAAGTTGACAGCTCTGTAGAGAAGTTTTCTTTTGATTTTTCATATTCAACAATATTCAGTAAGCAACCAATACACTGCCCAGTGACCAGTCAGTATTAAGAAAATAATAGCCTCATAAATTTTTATAAGACCCTCAATACCAACATTTCAAGACTTTACTTCAGTACCATACTGCCATATGTTTTGGCAGGTAAAACCCCTCCAGTTTGGTAGTGAAACCAGCAGGCAGCTTTTACTCTGGTATTTTGATTACAAATAGCAGAATGGTACACAGATATTTTTGCCAGATGTCCAAGCAAGCTGAATAAATAATTTTTTTACTTCAGCTGTAACCACTAGGCTACAGGCATTCTGTTAGCAAATAACAGGCACTTATTCAACAGGACTCAGCAAGGAAGCAGGGGGTGAGGTTTGCTTTTCAGTCAGCCAGATTCTTGAGAGGTATTCACAGGTACCTGTGGACACACCCACTTACATCCAGTGTCTTCATATACACAGATAACTACATGCAATATCATCCTACACAAAGCTAATTTGAATACTCCAGGGTTTTGAGACCTCAATAAAACTAAGTTACAGTGAACAAGTGTTTGATATTCTCCTAGAGAAATACTGTAAATACTGAAATACTGAAATACTGCAAATACTGGTGAGTCATTAGCTATATTAGTTTGTCAAGGCTATCACTCAAAAACAGCTAATTGCATAGGCAGAGCTGACTAAAGAAGGAAGATATTTCAGCAAATGGATTTACCTGTGCTGGTAAGGCTTTTGATAATTGTTGGGTGAGCTCCCCTGCAGAAGACTCTGGGACTTTATCCTTGCTTATATTTGTGTTAACAATGAATTTAGGCAACTTGAGATCACAAGCAGGTTTCTTTTCAGCTCACCTTGTTCTCACAGGCTTGCTCAGCCCACTGTGCCAGCAAGCGCCTCAGGAGCCTCTAAATAGTCAGCGATACCGTCAGCAGGTGCATTGAGAGGGGTGGCAGTGTCTCAGGAGAGGTGAGGCTGAATGTGCCATCTGCAGGCTGCTGACACAGACAGCCAAGGCACTGGCCTGGGAGGGAACCCAGCTTTTGCACTCTGGAAACCAAAGCATCCAAAGTGACACCTTATATTGGGATACAGCCCAACCATGAAACCAGTGAAAAAGCAAGTGTTTCAGAGACTGAGTGTAGGTTGTAATGCACATCTTTATGCAAGTCTAGTAATTGTTTTTTTAAAAATTGTATGGATGATTCAATTCTGATGTCTGAAACTCTCTCTGTGGAATGGACCATAACAAAAACCCTCCAGTGACACATGTTGTGCAGACCTTTCCTGAGCCATGACTAAGTCATGACAAAGATGCCTTAAAATCAGGGTCTTGATTTTCCGCTGTGGTGATGGATTCTACATGCTTAGAGAAGACTTGTTTTCAACTTGCTCCTTTGTTGTGCAAATAGTTCCATAACAGTCATAACTCCTGAGAAATAGGAAATCCACAGGCTTTCTGACATTGGTGGTTTTATCCAGAGTGGAGGGAGTGTGTGGCGAGGCTGGGATCAGTTCTCACTGCCTCCTGGAAGAGCCTTACATGAGAGAAGTGATGAAGAGGGATAATATATTTGGTATGGGGTGTTCACAGTGAGATGTATGGAGAAAGCAGGTTGAAAATGGTGATGGGAATAAAATAAATAGTTTGACAATCTCTCCATATTAAAAGTGATGGGTGTCTTTATGCCAGTAGTTTCTGAGTTAAGAGTTTTTATACTCCATTTTCTCCAGGCAGCAGAAAAGAGGGAGTGCTTTCTATAGCTTGCTCTAAATGCTTGTATTGAACACTGTAATTGAAGCAAATACTTTTTAATGGTGAAAACTTCTGTATGAATGTGCTGAAGCTGATTGTGTTCAAGGTCAGGTTGACTGAGCCCTGAGCAACCTGATCTAAATGGTTTCATCCCTGCCCATGGCAGGGAGGTGGAACTAGATGATCTTTAAGGTCCCTTCCAACCCAATCCATCCTATGATTGTCTGGTGTATGTTGATTTGAAGTTATTTCCTTTGCTGTATCACCCTTGCTGTAAAAAGCCAGCAAATAAAAACTCAGGAGATGAAATTACTATGTTAGTGTTCATTTACAGCCCACGTTTGTGGATTGTGTTTCCTGTAGGCATTCTGAAAATAATGAAAACCCTAAAAAAACACAGAAATAAAATCAGGTTTACAAAAAGCCTTTTCAAGGTAGGTTTCCTAAGCCAAAGTGTTAAAAACAAACCCAAGTGACACCTTCATCTGTAAGGAGAGGAGCTGTAGTTTGTAATATTGGTTCATTTTTCTTCAGTGGTTAGAGGAAAGCAGGTGGCATGATCTAAAGTGTTTAGTTACAAGTCATCCTATACTTGTTATTGGTCACTTGGAAAAACTTAGACTATTTCCATTGAACTTCACAACCTATTTTTACTGCTGGGTACAATAATCAGTCGTTATTCCCAGCTTGCTTACATAACAAGAAAAACATTTCCAAAACAAACTCTTTCTTCTGTGAAAACATCTGATGTAATTCCCAGAAGCTGATGTACCAGGTTGAAAATCAGTTCCTTAGACACAAGAGATGCTCTCCAAAGTCTGGTTTATTTTATAGCAGCCATTTTACTTCTCTTGCATGCAAGAATATCTCAGTTTAGCAGATCCTTCTCCCTGCCTAGAGTTGCTAGGGTGTTTTCCACTGAGATTTCCATTACATCTCCAGGACTGTTGTGCAGCAATTTCACTTTCAATACTTTTTTCTTCTGCCATGCTGAAACCTGTTTTCTGAATTTAAGGTGTTAAGTTGTTAATCTGTATCTGCTTGGGTCACCCTAAACCATGTATTTAGCTTTTCCTCTGCATGCCTGTCAGCCAAATATTTTAGACTTCTATGTTTCCCCAACCTCATGACTGTTGGGCATTGAGCCTTCTTAATCATTCTTTACCTTGGTTTGTCTTCTTAAAATATTTCACTTGTTCTTTTGTATTTCTGATACTCTGAGCTGTTTGCCAGCAGGTTCCTGCTTATGAGATACTTAGTGTTACTCTAGAATAATGATTTTCATATCTACCTTAAAAAAGAAAAAGTAAATGAGACAGAAGAGCTTGCAGTCTGTTTTTAATGTTTCCTTTTTAGTTCTATTGCAACATTATTTCCTGTCTTTTCTAAGAGATGCAAATTTCTTCTCTGAACATTCAGAGCTTGGTGCAAGACAGCTGTTCCTTAGGAAAGTTATTTTCAGTGACAGGGGTTTCTTTTTTCCCAAAGTTCAGCTTGTTGAATTCTGCTTTTATTTCCATGATTGACTTTCCTTTGGTCTCAGGAAGATACAGGTAGATGAAAATTGCTGATAAAGCAAGGATTCCCAAAAAGATAAGGAAGCAGAAGGGTCCAAGGTTATCCTGCAAACAAAAATACAAAACAAAATAAGGAAAATAAGAAACTCATTTTTATTTCGCTGCACTTTAGTGCAAGCCTGTGTCTTAGAAGTTCAAATTCAAAGGTGCATTCAATACACAGTCCAGGACAGGTATCAAACCAGGAATTTCCACTGGCCATGTTTGACCTGAGTCCAATTGCTGCTCCTTGACAAACCTGGGGAATTTCTGAGCAGGTTTGATGTTTGGACAGAGCTTTGTGTGTCGTTGCAATTTATTGCTATTATTTTTCCCCTTGTCAGCATTTGGAAATAGATTAGCCTGGAAAGAGGGATCCTGTGAGAGTCACTTACAACAATTATTGGAAAAATCATCCCAAGTACGAACAGTCCCATCCAGTTGATGCAGCCAACAATCAGAAAGGCTGATGGTCTGTATGACTGGCTGAAGATTTCAACCATCACAGATATGGTGGCTCCAGCTGAAAAAGCAAAGCCAAGCACACACCAGGTTTATTTGTTTCCTTGCTTCTGCTGAAGCTCCTGCCAATGGCAGTGGCAGAGATGACGGGCAGGCAGAACACCTGTTGATAGGTGGCCTCTGCTATGAGGGTGAAAGACCTTGATTCCAGAAATGGAGTCCAGCAGTTAATTTAGGTTCCTCTTGTAGGTACTGGAATCCTTTTTCTGGTATCAGTGGGTCTGCGCAGTTCCATATTGCTCTGGCAGTTGTTACTGGTGCAGTGGTTTATAAAACCAGCCTCCCTTTTGGCTCCTGTGGCCACTTCCACCTGGAGCATGTTGGTAGGCATAAGCTTAACTTGTTAAGTTATTGAAGATGATTACTATAACATACCTGGCAATGCCTAGAATCCTGTTTTTAGCTGATTAATTTAGAAATTATTTTGAAATTTCTATCTCACACTCTCTGGAGAAGATGATACTGTTTTAAATTATTTAGATCACAGATCAGCAATAAAATTTCAGGTGTCTGTATACTTTTCCTGTCTCCCTCTTGTATATGGCTGCCCTTCCCTCCTTAATTTCCAGAACTTTCTGGCAAGCACTAGCCTGTTCTTCCTCTGCCAGTTGTGCTGCCAGTCAATACAATACCAAATTTCCTGCCAGCATAATCATTGATGTACTCACATGGTCCAATTCCATAGAAGACAACGAACAGAAAGATCAAGATAACACTGAAGTAATGCATCCAGAAAAACCGATGCTAAAAGTGAGAAACCATAACAAACCATTAAACACACGACAAAATCTCAGAGCTCTGTATTTCCTGCCACTGGCTGAAGTTTTTATACATCTCCTGCCACTGAAGAGCAGGAAGGTGGGCTGGGGAAGTGGCCACAAAGCCTCTTTACCTGCAGTGACAGGGTCATGGTGAGCAGGGCCAGCACAGAACACATCAGTGAGTATCCACCCCAGAGCAGCACCTTCCGCCCAAACCGGTCTATAAGGGTGCTCTGGAAAGCAGAAAACATGGATCACAAACCCCAGTTCTCAAAGGAAATAATTCCTCCTCTCTCCATGTGTTCTGTGCAGAAGACTTGTCTAAATAATAGCCATAAATCAGTGTCATTTGACAGTCTCTTAATTCCTAATCAATTTTATTAGTTTCTTCAAAACAAATTCATTATTAATGAAACTGTGTTTATTAGTCAATCCTAAGCTGTTATTAGACAAGTTCCCTCTCTTGCATGCTGGTATATGTCAAATTGTGCACACAAACATACACACATCTAACCCAGAACATCAGAAAATTATTATTTTGCAGAAAAAAGTGAGTCTGAAGACACACAGACATGCAAATAATTGGGAAAAAAACTTTGTATCCTGCCTGTGGTTTTGCAGAAGCACGAAAGTGGCTTAGGTTATGCAAAATTTCCCTGAGCCCAGTTACAAGAAAGGAAAAGCGCAGTTGTTGACCACATTAAATTTTCCCTTCAAACTCAAATCTGAAAAGACTTACACACAATATAGAGGATAAGCACTCACACAACCCAACTCCCAGGGACACGTATGGGATAAGGTATTCTTCAAACTTGGCTGTGTGAAACACTTCAAAGGAATAGAAGTATATCTGCAAAACGTGAAGAGGAAAAAAAAAGTGTTGCATTTGAGATACAATTCTAAGCTGGTTTAATAACATTGACTTTGAGAGGTTTGTAATGCTGCCTGGCATTGTCTCTCATCCTGGGGATAAAGAGAGCACTCAACTGCGTTGATTCCACAGAGCTGCAACGTGGTCATGACAGTCATCAAAATGTAAAGCTGCCAGCGCAAAGATCGCTCTTTAATTACTTCAAGCACACGCAAGGTTTTCGTGCTCGCCATTGCACCCTTCTCCTTCATAATGTCATCAATTTCTGCCTGGTGGTCTCCTTCACCCCAGAGCTTCCTGATGGCTGTAGGGGAGAAAGAGGGAAGTGGATTATCCTACCAGGATAGCTCCATCAGGAGTGGTTGCATTAAACCCTTTAGGCTGCCTGTCCATTGGAGTAGGTGCTGCTGCTGCTGCTGCCATCTGGTTGCTGCAGGGGCAATTTGAAGAATTTTGTCTGGCTGGCTGTCGGTATAGCACAGCTTTCTAATGTGGAGTTTACTCAACTGTAAACAAAGTAAACATTTGAGTACTTTTTGTTTAATAGTACAATAAAAGACAGCTGCCTGAACCATTTCCTTTAAAGAAATAAAGCAGCGCCCACCAAGGTGGGAAATGTTAGAGAAGCTGATGTACATGTGTGTTCCTTGTCTTCATGGGCCAAATGAGGCTGAGTGAGGCCCAGGTGAATGCAGACATTGCCATGGGTACCTCAGCTGCTGTCTGTGAAGCCGCCTGTGCTCCGTGGCACTGCACTGTGCAGCACAGCTGTGCCCTGCCTCATCTTCTGCAGCGGCTCTCAATGGGACAGAGCAGATGGAGGGAAGTAAGTGAGCAAAGCAGACACTCTACCTTTCCTGCAGGCTTCCTCATTACCCTTCTGTATCAGGAGGTAGGATGGTGAATCAGGGAAAAATGGGAGGGTAACCAGTTGAACCAATGCTGAAAGTCCACTAGATGCTAACAACCATGGCCACAAGGCTTCGCTTCCTAAAATCTCCCTGGAAAGTGTATGTGAAACAAAATCATGCTGAAATAATGGAATGAATGCTGAGGAAGTTTTTCTCAGTGATAAGGATTGCTCAGATTCCATTCAAGGGCTCACTGGAGTAAACCCCTGAATTTTAATTTGGCAGATTTCACAAATTTGCCTATTTTTATTTCTGACAATTTATTTTAAAGGAATTAGCTGATATTTTGAAAATCTTTCTTAATATCATTGGAACCCAGTATAATGTCTAGAGAGCTGACGAGACTCATTTGACTGCTTGGCCACAAGAGCAAAACAGCTTGCCAAGACTTTTCATTTAAGTACAAAGAATTTTGAAGGGGAAATCTCCTAATAGAAAGAGTGTGAAAATAAGAAGAAATCACATTATGAGTAAATAATTTTCTGCCTTCTATATTTGAAACCATATTTCCCTCAAATACAATCAAGATTTTTCTTCTGGCGTAAGCTAAAGCATGTTTTGGGGAGGAGGTGAGTGCTTCTCTGTCACTGATTAGGGGAGAGGGTAAAGTTATAGAAACATTTCTACTTTTAGTGTAACCTGATAGAAAAATTGGAGAATTTACCGTAGCCCAACAACCTGTCCTGTGAGTTTTCCCAGGGTCAGAAAAACAGCGACAGTGGAGTTGGTAAACCCACGCAGCTTCTTGGGTGAAATCTCTCCTACATACTGAGGATGTATATTGAGAGAAAAACCTTGAACATACAAGAGGATAAATAACAGTTAAAATATTTACAAAAGCTTAACTTTCTGACCATCATCTTCTCTTATATTGTTTCCATTCACTTGGGTATTTAGATTACAATTTCTTGCAAAAGAGATGATATCTTTCACTTTTATTGAGTGCCTGGTGTATTTGCTTTTAGAAATCTTTCTTCAAGGGTGGCTGTAGAGACAACCCCAGGACAGCAGGTCAGGGGCCTGCAGGCCTTGGACATACCTGAACCAATGCCATAGAGAAAGCGCCCAACCAGAATCATCTCGAAGGATTTGGCTGTTTTACTGAGGGCCATGAAAAGTGCAGCTACCAACATGATCAGGTTGGTGAACATTTGGCACTTTTTCCTGAAAAAAAAAACCAAACAAAACCCCTTGAGAATTTAGTGTGAAATGAGAACTTCTTGTACTGTTGTTGTGACAGGAAGCATGGTACAGCCATTCCTACTGTTTTGAGGAATGGCTGAAATAATTTCAATTTAGGATAGTCAAAATGGTTCTTTATAATTTTAGGATATTTTAGATTTGAATGAATACATTTTTTAAGATAAGAATTTAAACAGTTGGAACCCTTTTGTCATCATTTCCACAGTACAAGTAGGGAAAAATATTTTCTTTTGGGAAGGACTGGTCCAGTTTGCCACCAAGATTTTTAAATGGCTCTGAGTCTTCATAACGTGTGTGGTTGTTCCCCAGAAATAGTCTGAGTCCATAAGTCCCATTCTAGAATGGCTTATTCTAAAGACTTTTGGCTAAATGGGTGCTCTGAGATTGCAGACAGAGTTTTTTAGAGGCACATTTCATTTCAAGTCAGAATCACATATTCACCACCCTGGTGTCTCAGGCTCAGTCTTTTGCACTCAGATGTTTTGCTGTGACACTTGTTAGACAAGAGCCCCCTTGCACACATTAAGGATAACAGAGACTCTGAGTTTAGGCTGTGATTCAGCAATTAGGCTACCACGTGTTAAATAAGCCATGGGAGAGGTGATCTTGTTTCCAGTCTTGGGAGACTCTCAGCATGTGGGATGAGGCAGTGTCCCACAAGAAATTTCTTGGGGGCACTTACCTGTTAGGAAAGAACACAATTGCAGGCAGGCTAAGATGGTTTGTTGAGACCCAAATGAGGGGCCCCTGGATCAGTGTGTTGTGGAGCAGATCTTTAAGTGGGTCACACCAAGAAGATATGTTTGCCAATTTCTCTGCAAATGAAATTAGTGGTGTTACACACAAGGCACCAAGAACAGACCAGACTGGTGAGGAATCCTTCCTTTGTCCAGTGGCAAAGATAGTTTGGAACTGCCTTTCAGTAACATGGATTGCCAAGAACAGAGATGTCTCTTGGACATTTGTTTTGGTGCTGATTATATCTTTGTGGAATTACAAGCAATTTTTTTTTCTCCTCTCTCGGTATTTTCTCTAGAGTAGATCTGAATATTTAATATAATGTCACCACCACAAATGAATGTATTTAAATGGAAATCTGACTCTTCTTCGTCACATAAGGATATTTTCCAGGTGTTTGAGTAACTGCATATAATGTGTTACAACACAAGACACACAGCTCCTTTGGTTGAGTTTGTAAAGCTTGGGAGATCTTAGTGAAAGGGGACCTTGAAGAGAATGTGAACCTATGCCAGTACTCCCAGAGGCACTGATCTGGTGATGTGATGATGACTGCAGCCCTTACAGAGCATGGTTCCCTGGGGAGGGCAGATAAATAGGACAGAAGGCTGCTTGGAAAAAGTGCATGTGCCAGAAAACCAAATCAATTGTCTTCAACAGGGCTGCTTCAACCAAAGAGAAGAGACTTGTCCTCCTTGGTATTTCCCTGTACTTTCTGACTGCTGAGCTGTTACAAGAAGCACTTACTTCCTGTATTTTGTAGTCAGGTAGCCACAGCAGAGGCTTCCCAGGAATCCTCCTATCCCATAAACAGACACAATGAAGGACCACAACAGCATGATTGTCTCAGGGTGGAGGGGAGAGCCATGTCGATCTATCCAGGTTTCATTGATAAACTTCCTGATGTGCTGGAAAATAAAACGAGATTTGCCTGCATGATGGGTGTAAGATCCCTTCACATTTGGCTGTTGTACTTCAGATCAAGACTGTGGTTCCATATTAGACTTATTTTGAGACTTTTTTTTGTAAAACAAGTTCATTGAGGCCACACAGCATATTCTTCAAGTTTGTATCAGCCAGGCAGCTTCCTGGTGAGCACGTCGAGAGCTCATTTAGTGCCTTCCTTTGGGGACTTGTACACTACATGGCAAGAGCTTTTTTAAAACAGAAAATTCTATCCCGTTCTTTTCAGGAAGAAAAGTTCTCTACACATGTGATGTTGCTGTTAGCCAAAGAAAAGACCTAGACATATCAGCTGAATGCTCAGTAAATTTGGGATTTGGGATTTATGGGAGAACAGAGGGCTCAGCCTCAGAGGATGACTACACTTACCACAGAAGGATAGTTGATGACAGAAATATGGAATCCATATGGGAAACTACCACCAATTCCCAGCACTAAGATCATTTGAAGCAGTCCACGGAACTGAACCTGCAAAGCAAAAATAAAATGCTCCATCAGCTTCTCACTACTCTAGTTTTGTGCAAGGCCAGAGACTTTGTAGCCACACTGGTCCTTCCTCTTTGTCCACTTCAGATCCTTTTGAATTTAAACATTTTTCAGAATCCCTCTAAACTGCTGCCAAAACTCGACCATCAGCCACAGTGCCAGAGCAGACAACATGGGTGTAAGGGTGATAATTCACCACTCTGCTTGCGAGAAGGAAAAGGAGTTTGAAAAGGTGTTCCTGATAGTACAACTCTCACTGTGTGCCTGCAACATCTGACAGGTTGGCTGGATAAAGGTGTCAGTCCGTGCATTTTCCCTCTCTGCAATCTACAATGTACACCAATCCATAATGGATGATGATACATATCACTTCTTCCCTTTTTAAGATTATGGAAACTCTTGATGGATTATGTTAATTATCTTTTGATGAAGTGAAGGAAGTAATTGATTTAAAAGTTTGTCATGATTTCTTAGCCTTTTGCTGCACCACTACCATATTCATTATTTTGGGAAGTAATCACAATGCTTAATATTTAGTATTGTTTTCAGTAATTTAGAAGACAAAGTATAGTATCACAGTCAGTGGTGGAAGAGCCAGAGCTGTTGTTAGATTTTTATTTCATTATTTCATTTAATTTCATCCTGTAGCATAGAAAAGACAATGCAACGTGATCTTCATGGCCACAAGCCCCATTGCTCTTTGTGATGTTTAAACACAGAAAGGAAAGATGATCTATTTAACAAGGGAATTTAAAACCTTTAAAGAACCTGAATCTCTACTATTATGTTATCTTTGGCTTTTGTAAGTCAAAGAGGCCTGAGGAATGTGAGCAGGTACTCACCAGGTTGGAGAGGAAGGCAGCCATCTCCTGTGAATGAGCCAGTGCCTGCTGCTCGCTGCTGGTACCTGCCAAAGAACCAAATGCTCACGTTATACAACAGCAGTGTCAGTGAACCAGTCCCATGTTACTGAAGTTAAATTTTACTTCTGAGGTTTTTGAGTTAATTACACATATTCCAGCTGTCGTACAAAGTTTAGGATTGTTGGATTAAATATTTCAACCAGAAGTTATGTCTAGCCCAGGTAAACAGGATGGTGTCTCTTGCAGAACCTGTATGCTTCATGAACTCTGTCTTCTGCTGGGGGACAGGAGACCGAGAAAACAATTTTAACCAGGGTTCCCATCATCATAACCTGCTCAGTTCTCAGTGTGAGAAACTTAGAGACAGAGCTCTCTGTTGGGAATCTTAGATGGGGCTTGGACGGTGAACTCCAGGACTTTGACATGTAACAGGAAAGAGATGTCCTCTCTCCAGGTGATGGCAACTGGAGCACATCGTAACTTAATCATTACTGGAAGGAACTGAACTACTCCATGATTTTGAAATGGGGTGCAAACTTAACAGTTCTACAGTGACATACCAGGCTTGACCAGCCAAGCATTTAGTAGATGATTTTTCTTTGCTAGTAGAGAGAAAGATTCATCATGCAGTTTTGTCTGGCATTTCCACTAGGAAGTGTACTTTTTGTGTCTGAAGAATAAGGTTGTTTTGAAGCTGTTTTGTAACCTCCACAGCTGGATTGATGTCTGTTTCTGCTGAGAGAAAATTCCCAGGCTCTAACTTCAGTTATTTCACAATTAAGAGGATCTTGAATGTATTCAATTGATAAATGGCTTAGCTATCACTTGCCATTTACACTTCAGTTGAAGGAGAGGATGAAGAAATCATGAAGGGCTTAGTTGACACAAGCAGTTATATTTACTAGAAAATATTTCATATGCAAAGCATATTCTTAGATTCCCTAGCTAATGTTTGAAATGTAGTGTGTGACACCACCCAGCCATTTCTCCTGCTACTTTTGGGCCTCATCACAGCCTTGACTTAGCTATTAATTTGTGCTGAGAGCTCACGGAGGGATTTTTTTTTTTCAGCTGAGGTTCTCCAGCAGATAAGCTGTTGTTAGAGCACAAATGAGTCCCTTTGATGCTAAGAATTAATTTCCTTTTCTCTAAAGTTATAAAGAGTTGAAACAACATGATGTGCATCTGACAAAGGATGAAACTCCATGTTAGCTGCTGGCATCTGCCTTGCTCAGATGATATTGGGGGACACACAAACAGGCAATAATGCAGATTTCAGCATGAGGCACTCCTCAAATGCAGCCTGTTGCACATATTTTCTAATGTTTTACTTTACCAGCTTCTACTCAGTGTATTTATACATATTGGAAATTTTCACTCTCGGACTTTAATTTAGGATTCCTGCTTTGTGTAGTTGAATCTTCCTCTCATAACTCCCTCCCTGTGTAATGTCTTTTGCATTTATGGTGATTAGTGACTGTACTGCTTGTGTGCTGTTACTGCTTAGACTGTTCTGAGGCCCTCTTTATTAGATGTGCAGTTTCATAATAAGAAGTAAGCAGATATTTTACAGACATCCTTCATCAGATTTGTGCTCAGGACAGTCAATCTCACAGCATCAGGTCATTTAGTCATTTATCTTGCAGTTTTAGTCATGTGTGACACACATATCCAAAGCTGTGATAAGCCTTCTGTAATACAGATCCATATTTTTTGTGGCCAGCTGACAGAAGTTCACAGATACATTTTTAAAGTTTTTATATCTGCCTCAATTAGTATTTGAGACATATCTTACCTATCAGCTGATGTTTTTGGAAGATGATGTGCACACAGTGATCCTGAATTACTGTCCCCTTTGTCCCTGTGCCCTGCCACGTATATTTGAACCATCCCTTTTGCTGTTTCATCCCTTGACCACACTGTCCCCATGACACAGCTCGTGCTCCACTGAGCACAGGCCAAGGCTGACCTGTGCTACACATGGCTGTTCTGCTTCATGTCACAGCAATGTTCCATAGGGCATCTCTGGCTTCCTGGGGAGGGTCCTATGGGAAAGGCTTTCCTAACTGGCACCTAATGAATAACTGAGATCAGAAAAGTGACTCACTGGAGAGTCTGTCAGCAATGCTACACAGTGCCACTCTGCTCTTGTCTCCAAAGATTTCAGGCATTGTTCCAGTGGAATGGTGTTTCCAGAATGACTGGAGAAGAAGAGAGAATTCTGTTTTGCAAAAAATTGATATTTTTAATCTATATTGGTAGCTGTCCCCAGATGACTGGTAGTTTTTAATCATATTACGTGTATATGGAACACCACAAAATTATTGAATTTTCTGACTTTAGGACACTTCATGTTTCGTAGATATATAGTTCTATTTATGTAGTTATGTTTAATGAGATGCCTGAAATGTCACTCAGTACTAAAGACAGGAATAATGAAGAACCCCAATCATGGAACGTTATGCACTCCAACAACTTTTTATAGTCAACTCCCCCTGAGGAGATCATGATGTGGAGAAAGAAATGTTTGTGGAGGCCAGAAGTTTTATTACAAGGCAATCTGCCATTTTTATTATGGTTACCATTTGCAATTAAAAATAAGCAGCAGTTAAGATGAATTATTGAATTATTAAGATGAATAATTGAATTATTTTGAATAACCTTACTTGAGTTGAAGTAAATGTGCCAATCAAAGCAACAGCAGAGATAAAACCATTTATTTTACTGTGCAAGTCTAGAGTTTGGACTTTAAATTGCTTCACAGTAAGCCTTAGCTTTGTTAATATTCTTCCTCACAGCATTGCTTTCCTTCTACAAGCATGTGAGCCTCCCAGTAGAGGGAAACACACAGAATATTAAGCACCTTCTAAAGAAAAGAAAAGTCCCATGGGCCTGAATATTTAAAAAAAAGTTTCTGATTCAATCAGTTCCAGCCTGAGGTGGTTCTTCTGGGGTAAACAAGTTCCAGGTAGCTAAAAGTCACAGGAGGAAAGTAGCAGTTCAGTTGCTGTGGGATTCACAGCCCTTGAGATATCTGTGGGAATTCTGTTCCTGGAGGAGGATCTGCAGGCTTGGGATGACAGCAGTGATGGGCAGGATAGCACAGAGTATCTAAAATGCCTTGGGGTTTATGGTGGCTGGATTCTATCCATCAGTCCTTTTAGCTCTGTTGCTGCTGAAAGGCAATCTGAAATGGTTAAAGTCTGTCAAGCTAGACACTACACAAGGACAACATGGCACTGTGCATGGGAACCTGGCAAGGCTTGGTTATTCAGTTGAATCTAGAGAAACAAAGAATTTATCTCCTATTCCACTGAATTTTTTCTTTAATCTGTTATGGATTGAACGCTAGCCAGAGAGAGCAAGCCAAGAACTTCACTGTTCCCATTTCAGCACTGTAAAAACATACTCAGAAATCAGAGAGAGAGAGGATCACAGGTCTTTCCTTTCTCTGTGGTCAGCAGAGTGTTTATAAATTCTACATGTGTAGTTTCAGTGTGTATTAGTTGCTCTGTTAAGAAAAGATTTACACTCAGCACATTAAGCCAAAATGCTCCTGATTCACACAAGTGTGTCCTGTTAATATCAGCCCTTATCACTTTTCAGAGCTGCCCAGAGTGGAGTGCTTGAGAAAGAAGCTGGTTTGGCAAAATAGGAACCTTGTAAGTGACAGACAGGAAAGCTGACAGTCCATTTGGAACAACTTGTTAGTCAGAAAATGGCAAATGTCTTTTTTTACCTACTTTTTTACAAAAACCTGATTCCTCCTTACGGCTGGTCAAAGCCTGGTGCAGAAGGTATAATCCTCTGTGACATGATTTGGAGTTGCTGGAATATGCTTGTTTTTAAAGTTTAGCTTATTGAATTCTTCTGTGATTTCCATGATTGATTTCCCTTTTGTTTCTGGAAGGAACAGGTGGATAATTATTCCTGAAGTGAAAAGTACTACCATAAAGATGAGAAAGCAGAAGTGCTTGAGTCTTTCCTGCAGGGAAAAACAAAGTGAGAAAGAGAGCAAGATGAGCATATCTTTGCTTTAGTCATTTTCTTGGCATATTTTTTATATTTGGGTCCCATGATGCCTAAAGCTTTATATTTTCTATTTTTCAGCTCCTGTACTGCATTAGTGTGTAACTCTGAGCTCTGTACAGAATGCTCGTCAGCTCACACTAAACAATCCTTCCAGGCCTGAGAACCACGGCCACCATCTGCCTCAGGCCTGAAAAGTGTAAACAAAAGTGAATGTGACTTCATTACCGGAAGCTATAATTGGACAATTAACCCCTGATATGCAGATTGACCAAACTTACATCCCTCTGAGAAACTGGTGATGTCCATCTCGGCTGTGGCCTCTGCAGGCTTTGCACTGCCCAAGGTGTGTCCTTGGGAGGCCTTTGATAAATCCACACTTTGTTCTTTTAACTCTGCCTGGCCTCTGTTCTAGGCAGCCACTCCAAGGCATCACCCAAAGTATTTTGAATTTGAAAAGGAATTCTTTCTTTTTTGACCTTTGACAAATATTTCAGGCTGAATGAGTATCTTGGGCAAATCAGGGCCCAAGGAGAGCAGGTGCCAAGAGCACTGACACAGCTCTGTCACCTCTGCTGCCGTGGTTGAGGCACTCACCACGATGAACGGGAAGGAGATGCCGATCACAAACACCCCCAGCCAGTTCATAACAGCACTGATCACCAAGGCAGGAGGTCTGCAGGACAGCTTGAAAATTTCAACCCTGGTGGAAACTGTGGCACCACCTGAAAGGAAAGAAGAACAAGAATTGTTTCTTGTTTGATGTGTTTGGCTTCAGGATTTGGATTGAGTGTTCCTGTTACAGAGTCAGCTGGTAGATGCTCCTGTAAGGGACTGGCAGGAGTACCTGAATTGTGCAGTGGCACCGAGCATCTCGCTCTTTTTTACAAAAGAAAATATTTGTGGTATCTAATAAACTGCTAGACATCAGTTTATTAAAGTGGTAAAATACTCAAATAAATATTTGGGGACATTCAAAAATTAAGTAGTTGACACTTGAGAAAGCCTGACATCCCCTCATGAAAGAAGATGTGTGAGGAAGAAATGACAATTATTAATGCTGAAATGCAGTTCCAGTGTTATTCTGCTAGATTGGCAATGAGTGATCTTCCCAGATTTACTCCCTGGGCATTTCAGTTGTGTTTTGAAGTCACAGGATTTCAACTGTTTTGAGTTAGGATAATAATTCAACCCTGCCATATGGGAAGGCAAATATTAAAAAAATTATTAGCCTTTATAAAATAAAATTTAATGAGTAGCAGGCAACAAATGTTAGGAAAAAATTTACTCCAAAGTAGGTCTTCTGTACTGCTGTCTGTGTGGGATAAGATGTAACATTATACAACACTGAATTTAAAAGAACTCTTGCTTTTCTTTTTCTCTGTTTTTTTTTCCCTAGCATTAACAAAAAAAATCTTTTACCCATCTGTTTCTGCTCTATTTTTGCTGTATTTTTCCAGTGTGCTCCTTTCCTCTTGTTAGCAAAACTCAAACTTGATGGTATTGAATTTTATGGACCCTCAATGTTTAAATGACCACAAGATTTTGTTAAATTAATTTACTTATGCTAAATATTGTGCCATATAAGACAGTATTTTCCTAACCTTATTAATAAGCTCACATGACTCAATTCCTTTATTTCCTTTGATTGAGAACTTACCTGGCCCAACAGCAAAGACAACTGTAAACAGGATAATGAGAGCAAGGCTGCAGTATGGCATCCAGAAGTACCAGTCCTGGGGAAAAAAAGCCCATAACAAACTTCTGTTTGAAAACTGTTAACAGCCCTAGGAGAGGGATGCTCCTGCTTTTCCAGCACTGTCACCTCAAGAAGGAAATATTCAGTGTGGGGGGAACTGAGAGTTGGGAATGCTTTACTCTGTGGTTGGAGCTGCTGAGGTCTTTGTCAGGTGAGCAGGTTCAGGTCTGACATTGCAGAGCAGCTGCAAATCTAGAGAGGCTTCAATTAAACAAAGCCTGAAGAGTGCTTTTGCACCCTGTCCTTTCTTTTTGACCTCATAGTGCTTCCTCTGATCCTTAGAGATATGAGAAGGACAAATCACATCTTAACTTTTATTAAGTTATAGATTTAATAACTGGTACTAAAAAGCAGTTTTTCTAGATCTTAGTCAAGAAGAAATGAGACTCAATGCTTTAGGAAAAAAAAAAAAGATTTCTCTTTCCTATGTTTGAGAGCTTTCTTGAATGAAACAAAACCAGAAGTCTGCTGCCACCTTGCTTCCAGGTCGGTTTTGCAGTGTATCCATAGAGCAGCTCTACGGGTGATGTGCTTCTGAGAAAGCTCCAGCAATGACACAGAGGTGTCAGTGTTCAAGAAGTGAACTGGTCTCAAGTCTGTGAACAGAGAGTGCCTTCCCCACACTTATCTGCAGCAAAGTTCAATTTCAAATTAACTGATGCAAAAGGTCTGGGGTTTTGTTGTTACTTGTTAGAAAGAGCATGAATAGAAAGGCCCATTTCCCTAGGGCGGTCTAGTGGTCTGTGCTGGCTGGTGTTTGGTGTTTGCAGTCTGATGAAGCCAGGAGCCAGTCTCCCAGTGTTTTGTGTGCTCCTTGCTAAGGTCATGGGATCATGTTGAAAGGAAGGCAGGAGAGAGTTTACTACTGGCTAAGAGAGAGTTTAGTCCTATGTATAGACAAGCTTGATCTCAGCCTCACTTTCCTTTCTCAGTAGCGTGGTCCTGCCAGTGAGCTTTAGATCAGAAATAGAATAGACAGAACAATCTGCTGTGAACAGAGTTTCCTTACCTGTAGGGACAGAGTCACGGTGATAGCAGCTAGCAGGGAACCCATGATCCAGTAGCCTCCTCTTAGGAGCACTTTCCTGCCCAGTCGCTCAATGATGGAGCTCTGAAGGACAGAATGAGTGTCAGTGCTGGAGAGCAATGTGTGCCCCGCTCCCCTGGTAATGTGACTTACACAGACTACAGCAGCTACGAGTTCAGAGAGTCCAATAGACAGGGTCATATAGGAGGCCATTTTTTCATCAAAGCCAGCTGCCTGGAGGACTTCAAAAGTATAAAAATAAATCTGGAAAAAAAAAATCATACAGTAAGCGAAGAAAATAATTGATTTCTAACCCAAACTTGTGTGACACTGCCCTAGGTATGAGCTGCTAATCAGGGAGCATGCAGCTCAGCTTTTGAGGGAGCTGGAATTCTGCACTCTTTTTGGTAGTATTCACTTTATCAGCAGACAAAAATATTATAAAACATTATATAATTAATTCATTGATCAAGTTGACAAAAGACAAAATGCTGGGATAATTTGACCTCCAGCTACTACAATTTAATTAGGTTTGCAGACTCCTGGTTTAGGTACTTTCAGAAACAGACAGGTGTATCTTGTTTTCAGAGCCCATCCAAAAACATCATTGTAGGATATTCCCAAGAAAGAAGAGTGTGGGTTATGGAGTCATGAGGGAGTAAACCCAACTCTTTTCAAGTATCTCTGCTAGTGTTTGGGGATACACTGAGGTGACAAAGATTCAGTTGAAGCTGTGTTAGATTCAGCTGTGTATATCCTTTACAGATGCTGCTACATTGTGGTGTTATAGGTAGGAGGGTCATGCAGGAAACTGCAGAGCTGTGACTTCAGAAGGATCCTAGAAAAGCAATGCTGTGAGGAAGAGCAGAGCTGCAGAAGCTGCAGAACAGGGAGCATGTTGCTTGTTAGCTTTAAGGGCAGAGTGAGCACAGCCATGCCAACATCTCAGGGTGCTAAGAGCCAGGGGACAAATAGCAGCAGTCACATAAAACTACAGATTTTGCCAGTGGAGAGTGGGCTCATTCACAAGAGTGAGCCCTGGAGCTCTGCAGTGGCTCCCAAAGGTGGCTGTTCAATGAGCCTGACTACAGAGGCAGCTAACTCCAGCCAGGACCAAGGGCTGGGCAGAGGGATGTCACACAGAGAGCCCAGCCAAGCTTTGTGGCTGCTGCTGTCCTGCAGAAGGGCTGGCAGACAGCAAGGCTTGGTCTGAGAAGCCTGAGAAAAAACGGAGGAAGCTCCTGTGAGCTGTGATATCTTGGGACTTCAGTGGGGAAACACACTCAACTGCATTGATGCCACATAGCTGAATTGTGGCGGTCAGAATAACTATCATGTACAGCTGCCAACGGAAAGCTGGTTCTTTCACTAGTTCCAGGACACTCAAGATCTTGGTGTTTTTCATTGTTGCCTTCTCTTTCATGATGTCATCAATCTCTGCTTGGTGTTGGCCTTCACCCCAAAGCTGCCTTATGGCTGTGAAGAAGGAGAGCGAGACCTGCCATGTTAATTCAGCTCTGTTTATTCCCTAAGAAGTTTTCTGAGTAGGTGATAGAGGTGTCTGGCATCCCAGCATGTGTGAGCTGGGGCTGTGCTGAGAGGCAGAGATGTTTTACAGGGTGCTCCAGAGCTCTGATCCCCTCCAGTGTGACACAGGGGCCTAGTGGGGTGCACAAGGGCTCCCTCCCTGCCCATGGGGCCACTTTTCTGCCTTCCTCCTTCTCTCAGGGTGTGAGCAGGGTACACAGCAAATAACCAGAGCTAAGGGGTGCCCAGTGGAGCCCTGCAGTGCAAACAGCTATTTCTCATTTATCATTTAGCATTAATCATCAGACTGACAGTGCAGGTGGTGTCAGATGTGAAAGGTTTTGTAATACAGAGCCATAGAGGGAAGTAGTTTCATGTTCTGTGTGGGGATTACAACAATAATGGACTTTGTAGGTATTCACAGAGCCTTGTGGGAAATGAGCAGGGAGAAACTTTGTCCTAGTAATATTTTTCTATATGGGGAAAGCAAGCATCACAAAATAATTCTAAGTCAAGTGAGGAACAGGAACCTGAGGCCCTCAGTTACCTTTTTCACAGCCTTCCTGGTCTCCTTTTTGCATGAGGAGATAGGGTGGGGACTCTGGGAAGAAGGGAAGCGTGACCAGCTGGACCAGTGCTGGGAGTCCACAGGAGGCCATCAGCATGGGCCACAGTGACTGGCTGCCCAGCAGCTCCCTGGCAGGGACAAAATGTGTGTTAAAGTTCATTGCATCGGCTTTGAGGAGAGGCAGGAATGGAAGGAAAAGCAGAGGAAGAAGAAGCAAAAGGTGGAAGGGATCCAGAAATGAATTGTGGGGGTAATCAATTGCATGATACCTTTGTCCTGAAATTTGCCCTATGGCTTTTCCCAGTGACCAAAAGAAAGAGGAAGTAGAGTTTGCAAATCCACGGAGCTTCCTGGGGGAAATTTCTCCGACGTATTGGTGGTGAAGAGGAACACAAAGACCTTGAGGTGAAGAGGGAATTAAGGGAGAGAAGAAAGAAGACATAACCATTGAAAATAAAACTGGATGTAAATAATTAAGTAATCTGGCACATAACTCACATACAAGACTTTCAGTACTAGATTTTTCAACTCTTTTTAAAAAAGTATTGTTCCTCTGCAGTGTGAAGTTTCCTGATCTTAAGAAATATACTTTTTTCCCTTTAAAGTGTATCTTGTCATAAGATCTCCTGTGAGCCTTAGCCTGTTTTAAAGGACACAGAGTATGCAAGGGCTAAATAACATTTTAGCAGTATTTAACATGCTTGTAGTTAACCCACATAATCTCAACCTTTTCTGACATGATGCTACTGAAGAGGTGTATGGTGGACTCATGGCAAATTATCACATATAGTGCTATAGTCAATATTGATTTCTATGTGATTTAGGTGGAAACAAGAGTATTTATTTTCTGCTATCCAGCAATAATTTTTATTATTTCAGTCAGAGCTGATATTTCCAGTTGTATTTATTAACTCAGACATGCTAAATACTAGTCTGGGAACAGAAGCTTTTTCCTGATATAGTCATTACAGACCCTTTTATCTGTTTCAAATGCAGCTTGTTCTTCTCTTGGCTGTATGTGATGGCAAAGCACTCTCTTTTGATTGCAGCCTCTTTAACAAAAATCAGGTTTTTGAATGAGACATGATACAGATTCGAGACCAGAGCAAGGCCCCTGTGGGTAAGCTGTTCTCAAATTACAACCATGGCTCTTCAACACATCTGTATGTTAGAGAAGCAATGTACAAAATCTGGTTCTTTGAAAAAATAGGCATTAACTTCTAAGTTAACTCTTTAATAAGTTAAAAGAGGAATCCCTGTGAATATGCAAACAATAGAAAGGCAAGTTTTGTGTCGGGAAAAAATACAAAACAATACTGATACCAGCACAGGTTGTTTATACTGCCTGTAGTCACTTGCCAGGAGTGATTTTGCTTTATTAAGCCCAGATCTTTGTGTTAACCCCAAGGACTTACTACTTGGAATACTCCCCCTTATGAAAATACTTTAAACTTTAAGCTTTAAACTTCCTACTTTAAATTTATATCTTTAAACTATATCATTTTCAGCACTGCTAGCTAAATTTAAGAAAACATTTTACATATTTTTCCTTGATAAAATTCCTTTTTTTGTGTGGTATCAAAACATTTCTGACGTCTCTGAATACTGATACACTTGGCAAAGCGAATAATTGTGAAATTAATAATAATTATGGTCTTTATTGCAGAGTGTTAGGGAAAATCCTCTTACAAAAGATCCCTGACTTCAACATTTTGTTTTCTTAGTGGAGGCTTATTATTTACATTGAATAAAGATGTAAAATTTTGTGAGATTCTGCTGACCTGTGGGAGAAGTCACTCACCTGCACTTACTCCACACATGAAGCGTCCAATTAGAACCATCTCAAAGGACTGGGATATTTTACTGCAGCCCATGATAGATGCTGCCACTATCATGAGCACATTGTTGCACAAGAGACATTTCTTTCTGTAAGTGCAAGAAAATGAAAAGATTTTTTGTAACTCAGAAGGGAAATGGCATTTAGTGCCATGCAGGAAGTCTTGGCTGAAGTTGTCTTGATAGTTTTTGAAATGACACATATGTGGCCCAGGACAAAATAAGCACTGGGTACTTTGGACTCATGGTGTGCCTCAGCACCTGCCTGCACCTGGGAGTTTGGGAGTTTCAAGGTTGTAAGCAGAGAAAACTCTGAAAGCTTTTCTGCACTTGAAACACTGCAAAACACATTTTGCCACACCAAAAAGGATCTCAATGCCTCTGGGTTTTGAGTAGCCCTTTCAAGAGCCCATTCTGACTTCAGCCAGGTGCTGCCTTTCGTTGTTGCTGAGATTGACCCAATCTGAGGAGCCATGCAACACAGTCCCTGCCCCAGGACACGGGCAGGGAGCAGGAAAATCAGCTGACACCACAGCTGAGCTGGCTGTGCTACAGCCATGACTAAGTGTGAAAGTCTGTCTCATTTAAAAACTTAATTATTGTTTCCCTAAGCTAAGACTCAATTGACAAATTGTCTTTAAACATACATACTTGCCAAATTTGACAGTGAGGTATCTGCTTCCTGAAGAACCCAAGAGACCTCCTATGCCAAAGATGGACACAGTGATGGACCACAGGAACAAGAGGTTATCCTGTTGGATGGGATAGCCATAACGCTCCAGCCAAGTTTCATTAATGAAAGCCTTAACATGCTGAGACAGAAAAAAAAAATCATTAACAATACCTATATCAGAAGTGCAGGTTTTTAATTATATTTACAAAATAATTTTGTTGCTTCAGCTGAAGTTATTATTTCACATAGGCTTTAAAAGTGTGAATTAGCTAACAGACATAGTATAATAGAGAGTGCTATGCTCATCAAAAGTTCAATCCCAATCTTTGGGTTTTTTATCCTTGAAATCTGAGGAAGCAAGGTATGGACTGGTACTACAGAAAAGTGTAAACAGTACTACAGAGTTCTGCAAATGAGTTATGGGTTTTCTCTCACATACCTGCCAAGAATGCCACATTACACAGAACCTGTTCAGTGCAATTCCTAAATACTTTTTCACTCAGAACTTAGTGCTCTGGAGACGGAAAATCATGCTTTTCCACTAAGATGATGTCCACAAAATAATGATGTCTTCCCTCTAGACATCAGTGCCCTTAATGGAAGTTTTACCTGGGATCAGTGGAGAGAAGCAGACATTTTCCCAGAGCATGGCTCACTTGTTCTATTTTTCTGTGAGGATGGATAACCATAAAAATATCAACTGAAACCACTGAAGAAGGCAGATGTGCTATAAGGTTTTAGGGGAGACAGATGCCATCCTAGTTAGTGTGTGTCTTTGGAGGAACAGTTCTATTAACAACAGCTTGCAGATCTCTCTGTTTGCAACACTTTGACATGATCTGCTCTTCAAGATAGCATAGCAAACGGAAATGAGAGGAGAATACTGTGATTAAACCCTTTCTGAATGCCAGAGGAGCAGCCTCAGGCAGCAGTGGAGACTCAGTGCTCTCATTAACAGTGTGCCATGTGCGTCTTTGCCTACCTGAGACATGTAGGTGATGGTAGAAATTTGAAAGCCGATCTGGAACGTGCCACCAATCCCCAGGACAGTGATCATTCGAAAGAGCCCCTTGTACTGTACCTGCAGAAGCAGAACAAAATCTTCTTAAGGTTGTAGCCACATCAGGCTGTTCTCACAATCTGTCCTTCATTCTCCAGAAACATCTCGTTTGTTCAGGGGATTTTCAGGTAGGAATGTTCCCTCTGCTTACCCTGATGTGAGATGTACATCCTCCTGTGATTTCCCTCTATCCAACTCAAGGAAGTGCGGCTTCCACAAACATCCTTGTCAAGGCACCACGGCTGCTAGCATCCACTCCTGTTCCCTGCCTCTCAAAACCTCTGCCTGCCATGCCTTGCACTAAATAATTAGATGCATTTAGATATGCACTTTTATTTTTTACCAGGGAAGCAAAGCAAATTATGTTTCTACATAAGCCAGTATTTTCCAGTCCATGAAAACATTTAAGACACATTAATATATTGATAAAAATGTGGTAAAGATGGATGCCAGAGCACACAAAGTGCTGCAATACCTCAAAATAATGGACAGAACCACTTGCAAGATGCTTGTAGTGAACAGGAGCCTTGTTCTTACCAAGACACCGATTTTGTTTTCTTTGAAGCCCCAGGAGCACACAAAAATGTCACAGATGTAAATACCCCACCAAATACTTACCAGGTTTGATAAGAAACCGGTCATCTCTGGCTGAGGGCTGGCTGTCCAGCTTGTGATGTGTCCTTGTCATCACAGGCTTGTGTCTCTCTGTCTCCTGCCTGCTGCTCCAGCAGTGGGCATTTGGCTTCAGGGATCAGAGTTAAATTTTTACTATTCCATCTTCACTCACTTATATTTACTCCAACTGGCCAAAGTTAACACTGCCAGATTAAATATTTCAGGAAATAATTACATCTAGTCCAGTCTCCAAGGGGAAAGTTTCAAAGCAGAGAAAATTTGTATCTGGGGGGCAGTGAGGGCTTTGGGAAGGGAAACTTCAGGCAAAAAAATCCAAATAGTTTTCCAGGATTAGTAAAATGCTTTACTTCTATGATATAGACTGGTTTGTATCTCTGCTTTCATGCAGAAAGCAAAAAGCAGCTGGTACAAGGTTTAGCTACTGTTATTTAGTAATAAGTAAAATATATGGTGTTCTGTTTCAGATTCTTTGATAAAGTAAATGTCATCATTAGAAGAAAAATATGCAAATTTCAGAAGCTAATTTTGCTGTTCTGGCCTTATGAATCAGTTAGGCTGTGCTGAGGGAGGGTATTTGTTGTCTGGTGTTTATGGGGATGTTTGTCAACCAGGTGTGGTGAAAAAGCATTAAGAGACCAAGACTCATGAAAGTTGTCAGAGAAGCTGAAATGCCCTGATGAATTGGGATAGCACCACTGGGATCTTACTCCCTCAGGTTTCAGCTTTGACACAGATTGGCTCCAAAATCAGCGTTGCAGGAATTGAAAAATCACCTTTGATTCCCAGAAGCTCCTTTCTTGTGAGGTAAAGCTCAAACTGTAGCTCTATGTAGAGCCAGCACTTGGAAAAAGCTTGGTTTCAGTGAGGATTTCAGGAGTGGGTGATGCCCTGTGCTCTTCTCACCTTTCAAGTCTTTGCTCGTTCTCATGCTGGGGGACTGTTCTGGTGGGGGCAAACGGGGCAATGGGGTTATACTGAGGCACTCAGTACATGCTCAAACTCACCCTCAGGACTTGTACTTTCAGTTTATTATACACAGAATGCAATTATTTACAGAGGGTCTCACTGCAAATACTGTGAGTCTAAATAAATGAGAAAAAAAATGCATGTTAATATTAAAACCTTGGTTACTTGTGCAATTCCAACTATTGTCTGTATAACTGCATAGCAAATACCTTTTATCCTGGCTGGCAAGAGTGTTTAGAATGATTTGGCATTTTTTGTATTTTCTCTTCAACACTGACATTGTAACCATTTGCATATCTCTTGGCTATTGTTTCAAAATTCTAATGTTTCCTATTCATTATGTATTTTTTCTCAAGTTGTAGTGAGATGTAGGGAGGCTATGTCATAAGGATTCACCCCTTGAAAATTGTTACTGAGGACCTCAAATAGCATCAAATTCCACCAGCTCACAGTGAAATTTCTCTTGCATTTTGAGGGATTTCTGGTGATTCTGACCCATGGTACTATTTCACCTTATTAGCAATTTCAGGAGAATTTCATTCTAGGAAATTGCTTCTTGGATTTTTGTCAAGTCAATGAAATTGAGCATTTCTGAAGACACCGCCTATATTCTTGAAAAAGCCACTACACTGGAAGTTGTGCACGATTTCATGTTAAAAAAATTATTACTGAGTTAAGGAGATCTTGTAATTATTTTTTTTATAGACCTGTAAGAAGGGCTTGCTGTGAAATGTATAAACACATGAACCCCACCTTCATGAGGTGTGTCAAACAGTTCTGTGTAAAGCTGTTGGTTCTAAGCCAGCTTGAGCCACACTGGACTGCTCATTGTGGATGACTGAAGCCATCTGCAGTTTAATTCCACACTGGGAGAAACTCAGTGGTTTATTTTAGATTTGCTTTGGTTTTGTTATAATCCAAAACTCAAAATGAAATTCTGAAAAACAAAATCATGGGGACTGGAACTAAAAAAGATGTTTGGGTACAAAACACCTTCTTATCCTAGCACATATTTCATGTTACAATGACTTGTTGATTGTTGACTGCTCTCACATTTTCAAGGTGATGTGAGAGTGACTCTCATTTGTGAAGATTCCATTTGCATCTGTGAAAAAATATTGGTATCTTTTCCCATAACAGAAAACAATAATTTGCCTTTGTTTTGTAGTCTACAAGCATTGAGGTTTTTTATGACCTTAATATATGATCTTTCTGCTGACCATTACCAGGGGTACTTCCTCAAGAGAAGTATTTCCTGCAAAGGAATGAGGTCTCTTCCTAAAATCTAACATGCCAAATACTTTGGTTATTTTCATAACAAAGTTTTCCTTTGTCTCTGGAAGGAAGAGGAAGATGAAGATTTTGAGCAGATCAGGGTCTCAGTAAAGATAAGGAAGCACAAAGAGATGAGGTTTTCCTGGAAATAAATCAAAGAAAACTTTATTTTATTTTTTTCGCTCCTCCTTTTACAGCATTTTGAACATAATGGCAATGAAAGCAAAGCTTAAATTCATGAAATCCAGTTTGTTTGTTTACTGTGACATGATACACTCCAGTCTCTAGGTGTGAAACAACAATATAAATAAAATAGTCACAATTTTCTTCTTTCCTGAAGGCAAGATAAGTAGGGTGAGCAGTCAAAATAATTTGAGATGTCACTTGCAGAGTTACAAGAGAAAGGCCTTGGGATAGGATTAAAACAACTCACAAACATTAATACTGGCAGGTTAATAATCTACTCTGGTTTATCAGTAACTGCAAGAGATGCAGCAACACTGAGCATTTGGGAGAACAGGCCACCTGTGGTCTGGCACTCTGCATTGGTGAGGTGTGGGAGGATGAATTCTTGAGCTAGAAAGGTTCATTAAGCCATGAAGCAGAGGAGGTGCCCAGCAAAGCAACCTGGCTTCTTGCAGGAGACATCGGTGCTCTATCAGAGCCTTACTCTACCTGGTATTTGCATTCTACCAGGTATTTATATTCTACCTGGTATTTATATTCTACCAGGTATTTATATTCTACCTGGTATTTGTATTCTACCAGGTATTTATATTCTACCTGGTATTTGTATTCTACCAGGTATTTATATTCTACCTGGTATTTGTATTCTACCAGGTATTTATATTCTACCTGGTATTTATATTCTACCTGGTATTTGTATTCTACCAGGTATTTGTTCATGGGCAGCATTCACAAGCAATACTAAGTCCTTTACAGTGTGATAGCATAAAGAAATGACATGAAAATTGTTTGCAAGAACTATGGCTATGTTTAATCCTATCTTCACGCTACTTCATCCTGAGCAGAACTTGCTTATAAAGTAAGAAACATAGACACAAATCTTGCTGCTTTAAAATGATAGCAATGGAGAAAAACTTGAAATACAATTGATGTGTTATGCCTGAGCAGTGGAAATTATTTGTGGTGGCTTATCAGAGCTTGGTGCAAAATGTCTTTTCTTCAGCAGCATGCATCTCCACGGCCTGATGACGTTTCCTCTTAAAAAACTGGCAGGTTTTGAATTTTTCTGTGATTTCAGAGGTCGACTTCCCTTTTGTTTCTGGGAGAAACAGGTAGATAACAACCGCTGAAATTATCAGGACAACAATAAAGATGAGGAAGCAAAAAGGACCAAGAAGCATCTGGAGATAAAAAATAGAACAAGATGAGTGATTTCCTTGGCAATCCTTGCCCCTAGAGATTCTTGAAACTTGTTGATTTGTTCCTGTGAAATAAGGAATAGGCCTATTTTACAGAAACAATATTTATTTATCTTTTCAATCTGTTCCTGGAGCAGCAGGTGGTTTCTGAAGTATTGGGAAGTGTTTTATATAAATGGCCTCCATATGCCACAGCAATAAGGGATTCACAGTTTTGATCATCTGCAAGTCATTTCATCCTACTCCCTGTCCAGCTCAGCCTGGAAATCCAGATTAAACTGACAGACTCAAAGAGAAGACTTGAATCAAATTACATACTACAGCAAAGGGGAAAATCATTCCAGTGAAGGTGAGGCCTAGCCAAATGATGATTCCACCAATTACAAAAGCGGAGGCCCTTGCTGAGAGGGTGAAGATTTCATTCATGACAGACACAACAGCTCCAGCTGAGGAAAAAAAGAAACCCAACATTAAAAAGTGATAGAACCATTGTTGTTACTGACCATTTCCCACAGAAGATACCTCAGTTCCACTACTGTGGGAATTCTGCTGTGTATTCAAGACATTCATGGTTGTCAGGTACAATACCAAAGGCTGACATTTGAATTTGGAGACTTTAATAACTACTGGTAGTGTTGAGTCAGAGAACTTCCAGAGTAAATCCTGGTCTTGGGTGAGTGAGGTTCTACCAGAGAACTGTGAGTTTGGGTCTGGTGCTACTGATGTAGATGATTAAGGGTGATATTAAGAGAGGACAAACAAGGACAGAGCAGTGCTAAGAGACAGATTATGCATGCTCTACTCCATAGAGTGGGATTTTACAGGTAAACTGAGAAAACTCTGGGATTTTAGAAAAGCCTACCTCTGCCCTTTGCCATCTGAACCTGTATGCACTGAACAGTATGCACACCATGCTAAACAAGTCTTCATTAACTGATTAACAAGAATTTATTTGGTTTGAACCTGTAATCCAGTGAGAGAAAACAGGGTCCTGATTCATCTGGGTGTGAATAATTTCTTAAAGAAATTGTTTCTTGGGTAATTAATTCATCAAAAATTGAGATTCCCTCAATCTCAGTCTCAATTAAGCAGTTGATTTTCAAAGATATACTCACACTTTCTAGGTCCACTTCTATACATTCATGGCCTGCATTTATCTTTGTGGTCCAAGCTTTCCTGTTGCTTTTATTGCAGTACTCACCTGGTCCTATTCCATAAGCAATGATGAACAAAAAGATGAGAACAACACTGCAGTAACGCAACCAGAGGAACTGATCCTGACAAAGGAGAAGGGAGGGAAGAGAATGAAAATTAATTTTATAGCTGTAACACAGCTGATCCAAGCACAGGAGCAGCAATATTTGTGAAAAAGCCCATAATGCTCTCTAGACCTGCTTATCTTTCTTTACTGACCACAGTGGAAGGCCAGAAGCAGCTTGTGGTGTCACAGCTACAGAGGTGAGCTCGTATTTAGAAGACATTCTAAATTCATTCACCACATTCTGCTGGTTTGGACATGAAAGCTAAGGCTCACTGTCTACTGTCTGCACAGAGAATTCTGATCCAGGTCCATTCCTGGAGAGACATTTGCTTACACTCAGCAGAAGGCTTGTTTCAAGCAACACCAGGATCAGTGCCATGAGCAAATAACCACCACACAGGAGCGTTCGGCGTCCAAACCGATCGATTATGGAGCTCTGAGGAATAGAAAAAAATTGCCTATCACTGGAAGCATGGCAAAATCCAACAAATCAAGCATTTTCCTTGAGTTCTTTTTACTTCAGAGAACACAAATCTTATTGGTACTAACTTTGTTATATTATTGAATTCCTTCTACACTCTCTAATACCATGAATTACCATCACTGCTCAGCATAGCAGCTACTTCTTAAACACTGCAATCAATGGAAGCATGTTACAACTCCATTTGAATGTATAGAGATGCACAAATAGATTGAAATAAGTACATAGGTTTATGTTTGAATGACACTTTGTGAGGGATTCTTATAAGAAATTAAGATGAATGAAGATGGGATGAAATACATGAAAGCTGGGACACAAGTTGCAGTGGACGGTAACAACAACCGTACAGATTTATGCAGCACCACAGAAAAATTCTTTGGTTCATAAGGAGAAGATTCATTTGCTTCAAGGAAGAATACTTTAATTCTTAAACCCCCAGGAAGTTCTGACTTACACAGAATATGATAGAGATGAGTTCAGAGATTGAAACACCTAGAGATACATATGGGATTATGCTTTCCTGCAGGTTGGCTGTCCGAAAAATTTCTGAGGTGTAAAAGGTGATCTGGGGAATAAGAAAAGTAAAGCACAGTTAATAGATGTGATATGTGCTTATCCAGCATCACTTAAACCTAGATTTGTCATCCCTGCAAAACCAGAAATACATTATTGGGCCTTAATAGAGGCCCAATAATAACTGCTCCAGATGTGAGAAATCAAAAGGTTAATGGCAATCAAGGAAATGGATTTGTAAGGAAAAAAAAAAAAAAGAGAAAGAAAAAGTGGAAAGGAGCGTATTGCCTGTAGGACATGGGGAAAAGGCGTTGTTTTGGAGAAAAGGAAAGGGGCAAGACAAGAGAAAGAAAAGCAAATCTCAGCCCTAGCACACCATGCATTGTCAAGCCAACAGTTGGTTCTGTTGCCCTTTTCCAGCTGCTAAACAGAAGCTGCTCATCTGCAGAGTCCCTGAGGGAATGGCACCATTCCCCTGCCAGCAGAGTTCCCCCTGCAGGGAGAATTCCACTGCTGGCACCTCCAGCACAGGCTGAACCAGGGCCCCTGGAGACAGAGCCCCAGACAAGTGATAACACAGAGGGGAATGACTGCCAGCTTGGGCTGCACTGGGCTCTGCCAGCTTTACATGGAGACAGCTGAAAGGATGTTACTGAATGGATAAATGTCCTTTCTCAAGTGCAATGAAACTGGATGGCAATAGCTGGTCACCTGCTGCTGGAGAAGTCAAAGAAAGCAGTGCTGGGCTGCTGTAAGCATTAGACACTTGTAACCCTTTCCTCTACAGATTCCTCGTTGTACCACCAGGGGAATGAAGGCAATAGTGCCCTTGCAGGAACTCGGGCTGAGTTGGAGCTCTTGTATTCCCACCTGAGATGCTCCTTAAAGGTTGAACAATACTGGGATGATACCACAGGTGTCAGGCAGTGAACTCTGTGTGAGGAGGAATAATGGAGACCCAGAGGAAAGGGACAAGTTGGCATTGTGGCACTTTGGAGACTTAACAGCAGATCCAAGCATGGAAATAGGGCATACTCAACTGCACTCATGCCACAGAGCTGCAGACTCAGCAACAGCAGGAGCATGGTGCACAGCTGTGGGTACACGGATCGTTCTCGCAGCACCTCCAGGACATTCATGATTTTGGTTCCTTTTGTTATAGCCTTTTCCTTCATCAAGTCATCAAATTCTGTGTGATAATTGTCTTCTCCCCAGAGCTGCTTCATGGCTACAAAAGAGACAGAATGAGGTACACTCCTCCATCATTTGATCCACTCACAATTTTGTGTTTTTCAGCTTTTAATGATGCTAAACATTTGCAATTGAGTCCATGCTTTGATTCATCAGTTACTGAGCACAGGACTGGAAGGAACATCACTTACTGGAACATGGTGAAACTTCCCTGGAAAATGCTGTAGCAGTTATGGGTAGATCTTAAATGTCTCTGATGACTCTGCTTGGTCTGGAGGACTTTAATCATGTAATTATCAAGAAATCTGTAGCTGGCTAATAGAAAAGCCAATTGCTGCTGTTAGCTTCACTTTCTCAGGAGTTATGATTTAAAAAAACTAAGGACCTAAAGTTTTATTTTACCTTTCAAGCAACCAGCTTTGTCTTCTTTCTGCAGCAAGAGATAGGGCGGGGACTCAGGAAAGAATGGCAAAAAGAGCAGTTGAATCAATGCCACCAACCCAGAGAAGGACAATAGCACGTTCCACATGTCTTCAGTTCCTAAAAGATCTCTGTGAAGGCATGTTAGAATCTATTTATAGTCCAGTAAAATTGCAGTTTATAACTAAATTGGCATTTTCTAAATTCTAGATTAGCTAAAGGGACACAAAATACATACAGTCATTGAAAAGTTGAGTTGAAATAGATGATGTATATGTTAGCAACAGGAAAATAGACTAATACTTTATTTCTTCTGCAAGACTGACATTTTTCTTGGACTTTTAATTTCTGAAGGTCAGAATATTCTCACAACAGCTCTCTGAACCAACACTGCAACTCTGCATGAGGTTATCAATAAATTAGCAAAACTTTCAGATCTCACAAATTTACTAAGAGAATTTACATACAATCTTCTTATTAACTTCAGCAGAGAGACTGCACCTCCAGAGATGGAGTCATCCTTTCCCAAGAGAAAGGCCTTTCTCTCCCCAGGGAATGACATGGAAACCTCAGTGACTTGTATGGGGCAAGATGCCTCCTCTTTGACTGCTGTAGTTAAGCAAAATAAAACCCCACCTTGGTGTATGTCCATTTCTAGGACTGGGAGGACACCACTTCCCTGCTATATAGAAGAAAAATAAATATAAAACAGGCTGAGAAGGAGTAGCACAAGCACCTTAATCCAAGAATTCTCGCTACAGTTTTTCCTAGTGCAAGAAACACTGTGGAGGTCACATTTATAAATCCACGTAGCTTCTTAGGTGAGATCTCTCCAGCGTACTGAACATGGGCATTCATATGTATTCCTAATGGGAGGAGAGTGTTAAAGCTGTGGAAAGAAAGAGAGAGGGTCCCTTTTCAGCTCCCTTTCAGCTCTTTCCTCTCTCTTCTGAACCCTTTCCCATATATCCTGTGCAATACTGGGCTGAAAACATACCTTTCACTTTAGAGATGTTTAGCTGATCCATCAGACCTCTTGAAAGCAAAGGACAGCTCATCTTACCTTGCCCCATCTGTTCCTTGTTCCACTGGGTTCCAGTGCATTCCTGGGTACTCCCAGCAGGAAGATTTCTGTATCCACCCCAAAGAGGTCACATTAGCATGGAGTAGTGGGGAGCCCTACCAGCACCGATGCCCTCAAGGAAGCGGCCAGCCAGGATCATCTCGAAAGCCTTGGCTCTCCTACTGAAGCCAGTGAGCAGCGTGGCTGTAATTAGCAGCAAGTCGTTGAGCAGTAGGCATTTCTTCCTGCAACAGTGAACAACACTGGGTATGATCCATCTTTTACTTTTTCTTCTTTGACAAGTGTCTGATTCTTCTCCTCTGGATTTACAGACTGAAGCCATGGCCCTGCTTAAACCCATTGCTTATAGAACAAGCAAATCTGGTTATGAAAAGGTGTGATGTCTTTGTAGAGTAGCAGAAAGGGAGAAGCTAGATTCCTCTTACTCACTGTGTGAGCAAGCCATGAAGCTGAAGGGAACTCCTGCAGGGTAAAATGTCAGCAAAAAAATGGGAATTATACATCAACAAAAGCTGTGACAAGGGAATCAGAAATATCTGCATGTTCTTGTCTCTCCAATACACCCAGGTGCAGTTTTATGTGCTGGGTAAATTCTGCGGCAGCAGGGGGCAGTGACATTCTGGTATCCCTTCTATTAGTTGAATAATATTTAATAGCTTCTCCTGTTGCAGCCCTGGGTAGAGAGATGTTGGGAAATGTACTTACTTTCCAAATTTTGCAGCCAGGTACCCACTACACAGACACCCTATCATCCCACCCATGCAGTACACTGACACGATGAGGGACCACAGTAGCATCAGGGTCTCCTGAGGCAGCACAGAACCGTATCGCTCCAGCCAAGTTTCATTGATAAACTTCTGAATGTACTGGGACAAAAAAGAGATTTTCATTTCACCAAGGCACTAATCATAATGTTCTTCATAATGTTTACAATTTAAAAAAACTAGATTAATAGTCATGACTAAAAACGTGACTACAGGACATTTGTTTGCAAATAAGGATTGATATTTCCTCTCATACAGCCTAATAGTGTACAAGCATCTTTCAAAAAATAATTCTACTCTTTAGTGTGTTGAATCCTACCTCTCCTACACCAAAAAATTAGGACCTTATATTTGTTATAGTTAAGTGCAAATTTTCTTGTGGTCAGTGGTGGATACAAAGAGAAAAGGGCTGAGCTGAAGGCTGACTCCACCAGATAGTTTTGTTTGGTTTTTTCCTCTATGGCATAAACTTAAGGAGATATCTCAATATGTTGGTTCCACAAAATTCTCTGGGAAACTGTCTTTGGAGCACAGCTCCTTGCAATGATGCAAGCTTTGACATTGAGGGTATGGCATTGGAAACAGCTGGGAATAAATTGATACAACAACACCTAAGAGCTTTTGTAAAGTATCTGCAAAGTGTAGGGTGTAAAACCGTGAGCAACAGTTAGAGATGGGATTTTGTTTTCTCTAGCTTTGCCTACCAGAGAAGTGTAATTGATCACAGACATTTGAAAACCAGAGAGGTGGGTTCCACCAATTCCCAGCACCACAATCATTAGCCATAGCCTCCGGTATTGAACCTGCCAAAGAGAGCAGAACACATCCTAAACTCCTGATACCAGCACGCCTTTCAGACCATGAGATAATTTACAGGACCTTAGATCTTCACATTTCTATGACTAAGAAACATTTAACATGCAAAAACCCATCTTGAATTTTATAATAATCATGCAAAAGTCATTTGTTAAATCGTTAAAATACAAATCTGCACATTCTGCTATGTTCCTCTCCCGGTTATTAGCAATCTGAAAAGATACATTCTCTAATTCTGTTAGTTCTGCTAACCACAGAAAACAAAAAATCATAAAAGCCTTGTTGAGATTATTTGTGTTTAACTTTGTACTAGAAAGAAGCTACAGTTTTCTTGAACCCCTTTTTGCTTTCACCTTTGCCTCCTCAGGGACAGTGTTTACCATTTTCCAGAGATGACTCAAGTCTGCCCCCTCCAAACTTTTTTATTTTACATTTCACTTTTATCATTCCTGTATGAAATGACATTTAGAGGCCCTGTCTGAACTACTCCTATTGGAAATGCTGTGTTTCTATGATATACACTGAATTTCACAGCATTTCTCACAAGCACTTATTTAGGTCACACTTTAAATTGGATGAGTATCCTCAATTGTCCTTGAGAGTTCGGAGCAGTAGAGTGGGAGAGTTTTTTGTGTTTTGTGTTTTTCACTGATACTATGTTCTCTATCTTCCCCCAAATTCCCATCTTTCCTGGTTTCCCCAGTCCTCTTTTAAACCTCTCACTGTTTTGCATTTCTAATGTATTTTCTGCAGAATTTACTCAGTCATTGCTCAACCAATGTTGTCCCAAGCGCTGTTACTCATTTGGATTACAAGAAAGAATTATGTCCTTTGCCGCAATCTTTAAGACCATGCTGCTGTTAGTGACCAGGGCTAGAACACAGGAATTTGGATACTCACCAGGTCTGAGAGGAAACCAGCCATTTCCCCTTGAAACCCTGCCTGCTCTGAGAGCCCTTGTCTGCCAGATGAGAGAGATGGGTTCCACACTGAGATTGTAAGAGTTTGGGATCACAGCACCGAAGTTAAATTCTAACTATGTGGCTTTTAGCAAATTGTGTCCTCCCCTGACACTGGTCAGGGCCTCTTCTTGCTGGTTTAATTATTCTAAGACCCAGATATGACAAGCTGATTACAACATTGGTAAATGTTTATCCCTCTTGAATTGGGAGCACTCGCCCTTACTCGTGCTGCTAAACCCCCGGGTGTTCCTGTTGTGTGAAGAGTCAGACAGTGCCACCCTCTTCCTTCAGTGGAGCAGAGTCCCTCCTCACCTCTCTGAAGAGCAGCTTGGGCAGGGGAGGTTTTCCTCCTCTCCAGTCCTTACACCAGGCCTTTAGAATTGTAGCTCAGCCATAATCCCTCTTCTTGCCTGCTAGAAGATTTACAATTGCGTGAACAATTTCCCAGATGCAGGAAATGAAATACTGGAATATTGGCATTTTGTGTCCTTGCTAAAACCTAGTTCTTTATAGAGGCTCAGAGTTTTTCCAGAGCCACTCAGAAGCCTCTCTGTAACAGCAGAATCGACCCACTGTGTGCCAGAGCAAGATGCCACATCTCAGCGGGCAAGAGCTGATGAGCCTGCAGGAACTAGAGGGGAAAGGAAGATTTTTCTTTGAGCTGAGGGTGGAGGAAGGACAACTCTGGACCTTTCTGGAAAGGTTTCTAAACACTGTGGCCAGTTTTTAACATCTGGCTGATCAAACAGTCCCTGCAGAGCCCTGTTCCTCTTCCTCTTGTTGTCTGTGTCCCTCCTAGAATACTCCAACTGCTGTCTCATTTTCATCTGGCCTCACACTATTCAGTGCTGTAGGATGGAAAAAGCAAGCCTTAAATGCCTAGTAAAGTTTTCATTTATTTTCCTAAAGAGGAGGACAAGATGCATTCCCTCCACCTAAGATTTGACTACAAAGAAATGTGCTTTGTCCAGACCCAGTACGGAGCTCACCCAACACCCTGGACTTGGAGGGAGTTTATTTTCAGAGATGCCCTGTGTTGCACTTGTGTGATCCTGGATCCTGGAACTGCAGATTCACAAGTGCTTCTTCAACCTTTATTCCCAATCCATGATAGTTTATGGCAAGGTAAATGATTTACCACACTTTCCCTCTTGTGGACAGCCTTTAGCAGGAGGGGAGAAGTAAGGCAGGTTGAACACAATCATGCTGTGGAAAGACATGTATAAGGAAATGAGTTTTTAATCTCTTGTAAGACAGTAAAAACTTCCTCATTGGGAACCAGTAAATTTGAGAAAGACCAAACCAAATACGGACCTTTAAAATAATCAATTACCCAATATTTTCTTTTCAAACCACTTCTAATGTTTTTGTTTGGGTTTTTTCCCTGCATTTTTGACCAGAAGAAGGAATGTATGTTGGTTATTAAAGTGGAACTGTGCAATCAATGATCTCAAGCCTTGAAACAAAAAACTTTATCTAGTTTTTTTGGCAGTATGACGATTGTCACGGGAGGGATGGCTGTGTTGGGAAATTTCCCTGCTCCTGGCATTAGATTTTGCCACTGCCACATATGCTGCAGGAGGCTGATGTGAAGATAAAATAGCAAGGAGCCTTAGGGCTGTGAAAGAAACTGCTTCTCAGTATTCAGATCCTTTTGCAAAATTTATTGTACAGCATCTGCATCAGTTGGTAGTGAAGATCTCATCTCCAGAACAAGACAGACACAGTATTCCTTGACCCCAACAACACTGCCCCAGAAGATGGGGTCTCCTCTGTCCTTGACTCTTCATTCAATGAAATCAATCTAGGCACAATTAGAAGGATGTGTTTTCCTAGTCACTGCTTTTTATTTCCTTTCCAGAAAACTGTAAAGCAAGAAGACCAAAAAAGTCTTGTGTCATATAGCAGTGAACACAAATATGAAGCCGTTTTTACCAGGTTTTATAATGAAAAAATAATGTGAAGTATTCAGAGACCTGGAAAGAGAAGCAGTCACACATATGGATTAAATTCTCCAGGAGAGGTGCTCCTTTTCTCTGTCTCGTCAGTACCAGTTACTGTCAGGGCTTAATCCCACTGAAACCCAGTGTTCTCCAGGCTGAGGAGACACTGCACAGTCATTGCCAATGAGGAAGGAGAATCTGCACACTGGATTTGCCCACTCATGATTTCCTGCTGCTCTGCTTTCTTTGCTCATTGCTTTCTTTCAGTGCTGACATATCCCTGTTTTTCCCAATGAAAGAATCTCCAAGATTGTAAATAAAAAGATTGTAAAGATTGTAAATTGGGGAACATTGTGTATTGATTCTGCTAGGCAAGGCACTCTTCTTTCACTGGCTTAAAGAGTTAAACACTTCTTTTCCTGTGAACTGGAGCTTCTTCTATGGGAAAGCTCATTGGCACTGACTTGTTAATAAGGGCAGATCATTTCAGTGTCAAACCTCTGTCCTCTTTGCAAGTTTGTTGCACCTCTGGACCTTCCAGAACCACTTCTCCCAACTGTGGAGTCCTGGTTTTTTCAAGCAAGTAGCAGATCCTGTGTTTTCAGTTTACAACTGCAAGCTTGGAGGGACTGACAAAGATCATATTTTCTTTATAAACTGTGTTTGATTTTTTTCTGCAGAGGAATTAATTCATCTCATATTTCAGGAGCTGGAGAGAACCGCCACGTTTATGCTGCACCCTGTACTGAAGGTGATTTTTTTGTGGATCTATGGATTCTCTCTTGCTTAGTGAGACTACTGGGCACTACAGTAATAAAAGAGCAAAATATGAAGTGGAGGGTTTGTTCTTAAAGCCTAGTAACAGTCACCACCGAGCAGTTACTCTGCTGTGGGGCTGCCTGTCCCTTCTTTCCACGGTAGTTCAGGCAGTTGAACTCCTCCATGACCTGCAGCATGGTCTTTCCTTTGGTCTCTGGCAGCACCAGGAATACAAAAATTGCCATGGACAGGCAGTATGCCAGGAAAATGATGAAAGAGAAATTACCAAGACCTTCCTACAGGAAAACAAAGAGAAAAAAATGTGTTCATAAACATTTATATTGATTTCTCTCTCTTATGATAAAGAGTTTCTGGGTTTGTATTTACTAAAAGAACTCAGTCAGAGACTTAGTTGATATAAATCCTGCTTCAAATGACATCTGCCAGTGTTGGTGCCTCTGTCACTGCAGCTGTGCTGCCTATGTCACTCTAACTTGTGTAGAGTTGATAGAATTTTGTGGGTTTGCTGCATTTCCAGTAAATACCTGGTTAAAGAGGAAGAAGCCATCAGAACTGTAATTAATTTGGGCTCTGTCTGTTGCACGAATTGTTGATAAGAGAAGCATGCTCTGGGTTCAGGAGGGGTCCAACTTCCTCTGAACTGAAACAAACACCCTACTTTGCTTACCACGATGAAAGGGAACACAAGTCCAAGGATGAAGAGTTGGATCCAGTTTGTAACACCATTAAAAACATAAGCAGCTGGTCTGTATGACTGAATAAATATCTCCGTGATCAAGGGGCATACTACTCCACCTGAAAAATATATTGAAGAAAGAAGGAAGCTTAGAAATTTTGCAAGATGCTTCTGTACCTCATATTTAATTTTGCTGCATAAGTTCATGGCTTTAAGTGGCCTGGAAGTGTCTGAGGTGGTGCTTGGGTCTTCAGAAAAAAGGCATTTAGGAATGCAATAGGAAAAGAATTTTACCTCCTACCATATTATGGAGGGAAATATCGACACCTGTACTGAATCAGAAGCGGGGATTTGTGTCTATTGTGGAACAGCCACACCTGAGATCTCTCCTAAAGGCTGCAGTGAGGAAGGAATGAGTGAATAAAGGAAACCATTCCAGAAGAAAATACCAACCTGGCCCAATGCCAAAGCTCATGATGAAAATAAAGACAAGTGCAACAGAGCAGTATGGTACCCAGAAAAAGGAGTCCTGTGGTAGGAAATGAAAAGCAAATAAAATCAGAAATTAAAATTTTATTTATCTAGCTCCATTACAAATGTTGATCACTACTACGCATGTCAAGGTTTAACACAGATCTATTTCCTCTGCTTCCAGAAATGTCATGAGATAGCCTTGGCAATGATCTTGGTTGTGTAAAGCTATGGCTTTAATCAGTATGTACATGGCTGGGAATAGACCTCTATGAATATGATGGTTAGCCCCAAAAATACTTCTACTCACTAAAAAGTGATTTGTGGGGGGGAAAATAATCATGATATCTGTCATACAATAAAACATGGGCACAGTTCTAATGCATCAGAAGGGTCTTACCTGTAGGAAGAGGGTGACTGTGAGGAGCCCTAGAGCCAAGGCCATCACCGTGTAGCTCTTCCACAGCAGCGTCCTCCTCCCTGCACGCTCAATGAGGAAGCCCTGCAAGCAGGAGGAGATGCTGCAGCTCCAGGGACAGCCCTGGGGAGCTGCTCCGGTCTCTGCCTTCACTGGCCAGCCAGGGAATCACTGGGGAATTAGCACCTTCTCTGGGAGCCTGAGCAGGACTGGGAGCACCTGTGGGAGGTGCAGGGCTGCAGGGAGCACGGTCTGTGCACAGCAGCTCAGAGCTGCCGTTCTGCAGGCAAAGGGGAGCCAGGCAGGGGAGCAGAGTGGGAATGCTTACACTGTTAATTGCTGGGATTCCTACAGCCCCGAGTCCTACTGCCCTTCCTCCAGGGTGGAACGGGACTCCCAGGTCAGGCCCAGAATGGCTTGTGATTTTAACAGAAAGACTCAACTCTTTCCAGAAGCTCAATAGAAATGTCCATGTTTGCAGGGTGTGGAGAGAGAGCTTTATCTGATCGGTACCATGGTTGACTTCAGGCAAAATTTTGATTCCTGAAGCTCCATTTATGGTATTTCTAAAGACCAAAATGTGCAATTCAGCTGAAAAGCCACTTACACACAGAACTGTGGAGAGGATCTCAGTGGTCCCAAGCCCCAGGGAGACATAATGGATTTGAGCAGGGGGGATTCCAGCCTTTGTAAAGATACTGTATGCATAAAAGTAAACCTGGAAAGAATAAAAATTTGTGAAAGCTGTACACATGTGGCCATGTTTACACTTGCTTCTGTTGTTTTGGACATAAATTAATTAACCAGACCTTAAGAAAATAGAAAATCATCTTATCATGACAGGGCAATCCATAGAAATGCCTTCAGAAAACACTTGATGAAACAGTTCTCGACTTATCCCAGGTCCCAAATTTCCAGGGAAAAGATTGTAATAAGCAGTAAAAGCAGATCCCTCCTTAGGGCACTGTTGCAGTCATGGCCAGCTCCTTGCAGAGGTTACTTTTGCTGAGAAGCTTGTGAGCCATGCAGAGGTCAGAGCGAAGCACTGCACGTACCACATTGGTCCCGATGAGCTGCATGCACGAGATGACGAGGAACAGAGTGATGAGCTGCCAGCGCACTGCTCTGTCCCTCAGCAGGTCCCAAACACTCTTGGCCTTCTCCCCACGGATGGCTTTCTGCTCTGACATCATGTCATCTATTTCAGCCACATGGTCCCCATCTCCCCAGAGCTGCTTCACAGCTGGAAGGAGAGGAGGAGAGGTGTCCAAGCTCACCAGCACAGACATGAATCCAGATTATTTCCTGCTTTGCAGAGTATCTTACTAGAACTTCATTCTCTTTGCTTGTGTGATCTTCCCAGAGATCTGGGATCAGGTATGACACAGGTCCAGATCAGTGCTGTCTGCTTTTACCCATAAATTTTAATATGACCTCTCCTTTGGCCAATAGCTGCTGACAGTCTTTCAGTAAGTCACACTTACATTCTTACCAATCCTTCCCTGCATACTCTCCTGATAAAGGTTCAGTTCTAGCGCACACTCCAAAGCACAGACAAGATTAAATAACTCCTACATATAAAAAATCAGCTTGCATCCAAGGAGTTCTAACTTTGACAGTTAAACACTCATGGTGGCTGTTGCTTGGTTTCTGTTGGTACCTGCTGTTAGGGTTAGAACTGGGATGCTTCCAGACAGAGCAGGACAGGGCAGAGCCTCTTCTTCTCACACAGAAAAGGTACTGTATCTATACTCTGTTCAGGGCAGAACCTGCACTGCTGGAAATACAAACTGTGTGTGATCACCTCCCTTGGAGGACCCTGGCAGAGGGTAAGGGAAATACTAGTGCCAAGAGAGCACTAGTATCCAAACAGAAGAGGCTGACTTTCATTAAGCTGAAGGTGCTTTCAGAGCCAAAACACCAAGAGTCTTTTTCCCACCTGTGCCTCTCTTCCAGGCTTATCTGGGGCTTTCCTGTCTTTTCCCCTTTTTCCTGAAAGGAATGATTTATGGCCCTTTTCCTTACCTTTGATGCATCCCTCCTTGTCCTTTTGGTCAATGAGCAGGTAGCGGGGAGAGTCTGGGAAGAAGGGGAGGGTGAGAAGCTGAACAAGGACAGGGACTGCATTGGCTGTCAGGAGAATTGGCCAGAGAGCCTCCACTCCAAGAACTTCTCTGGAACAAAAGCAGCAGGATGAGAGGTGCTGAGGAACCCTTTGTGCTGACCATGTGAGCAGCAGACCCAGGGGGATCCCCCCAGCCCTGCTGGGTGTCCCAGCTGCTCCCACCCAGGAGTCTCCAGCAGGGAGTGCAGAGGGCCCTTGCCTGTAGCACAGGAGCTGCACGGGGTCAGCTCCTTTGCTGGGCACAGCAAAGCCACCGGTGTCCTCCTGCAGCAGCTGAGGGCTCACAGCAGTCCCAGAAAAACCTGCAGGGGCTGAGCCCTCTGCTTCTGATCCAAACAGGCTCCCATGACCATTATTACACCAGCCACGAGGTATCAGGCTGGTACTGACTGACCCAAACAGCAGCCCTTGGGCATAGGCATACATTGATATATGCAGGTATTTTAATAACAGAAGAAACTGAGTGTGTTTCAGACTCTCTTACCTGAGACCCAGAGCAAATCCCACAAATTTTCCAGCAGCGATGGAGGTGGAAGCTGTTATGGCAATCAGCCCACGGAGCTTCCTTGGAGCACATTCCCCAGCATACATGATATGGACATTCTGAGCTAAACCTGCCGTGACACAGGACTGTTAAGGCAATGCAAATCCTCGTCCTCTGGGGCTTTGGAGGGGACCACTACAGACAGTGCCTATGGGGGTTGGCTCTCAGATACACTTTTATCTGTGCTGAGGATGCCTGGCATGAAGCACATGCCTTGGTGCCTTTGCTGAATATTTCACTACCTAAGAATGGGCCCCTGGGAAGTTTGTCCTTCTGCAGGCTGGCCTTCTCTTACATTGCTTCCTACAGCCACCGTGGCTACTCCCTTTAGTCTTAGACAGCACTTTTCAGTGGCTGTTCAGATGCTATGTGCCTCATTTTCTGCTTGAAACCACCAAGTTGGCAAATCCTGTACATTCTATTTGCTCAGTGAATTCATTTTTATCTTCTTTTTTTATTATTTTTTTATTTTTTTCTGGTTGGTATTATTTTTATCCAACTGCTCAGGGGTGAAAAGCACTGGCAGAATGTAACCTTCTGAGGCATCTAGAAATTAGAATTGAAAATTCTAATTGAATTGGCTTGAAAACCATTCCCTTGTCTGTAATGTGGAGGGCAGCATCAGCCACAGAGAAAAGCAACATAAACAACAGAGGCCAGTTCTCTATTAAGTGAGCATGCTTCCCTGAAATATTACATTTCATATATATTATTATATATGTGTTATATTTCTCATAATTGACAATTGCTGCCAATTCAGACATTGCAGTACCTTTTGTATGGACTGGATGTAAAGATAGAAGAAAGAGAAATGGAGATGTCATACATTAGTAATTTAATTATGTTTGTGGTTTCTTATTCAGTTAAAAATGCACTCAGCAACCATGTTCTCTGCAGAATGTAGTAAAAAGTCTGTGATCTGTGTACTCAGGCTGGTGAATCCTTGTGACCCTCAGTCACTGCTCTTCCCACTGTTTAATACAGGTAGGAATGTCAGTTTACCTCCACAGACTCCAGAAAATAACCTTCCAGCAATGATCATCTCAAAAGATCCACACAGCCGGCTGAGTCCCATCAGAGCTGCGCCCAGCAGAGCAGGGATGTTGGCAAGCATCATGGCCTTCTTCCTGGAATTCATTCAAATTCATGTCAGCATAAATACTGCCCTTGCCTCATTCACAGCCTGACAGGAGTGGCACGAATTGTACCATGGTTACAGACTCAGTGCTGCCTTCTGAGATCAGCTGAAGTAAATGGGAAATGGCAATGGGGAAACTTGTCACAGACTGATAAGCTTATTGATGGTTTTGATGTCTTTAGTGGAGTCAATATCTGGAGAATAAGCTTTGTGAGTGGTTGTCTCTGAAATTCTCTTTAAAATGCATGTACTTCTTGTATGACTTCCTTGGACTGGCTTTGCTCCCTTTATCAGGGAGAGGGTATGATTTTCCTTGTGATCATTGGCAGATTTTCCATTCTGTTTCTTCACTCTACTGGTCTTTAACTGGAAGCCCTGGTCTGCTCACAGTGCCACATTACAAACAGTGTTTCTGCTTGGACACAGGTTATTTTTCTGCAGTTGTGGGTATAAACAGAGCAAGTGGTGTAACCACTCCTTCCTACCTTCCAAATCTAACAGACAAGTAGCCAGCAGAGGAGGAGCCCAGGAGCCCACCGATGCTGTAAATGGACACAATAAAGGACCACATCAAAGTGATCATCTGTGCACTGGGAGAGGAGCCATATCTCTTCAGCCAGGTCTCACGGATGAAACTCTGGATGTACTTTAAAAGAAAAAAACACAATGGACTCAGTCAACACATTCTTGTATTATTGCAGTGCTTTTTAAATTCTCTTACCTGCTTTTCAGTCTTTTTGATACATTAACCATGGTTGAAATCTTAGCCCCAATGAAATCAGCAGGAATTTTGCCATTAACATCCCTGGAGATGATGTTTTAGCAATGAGATCCAGTGAATAAATATATCAATATTAAATATCAGCTGTGAGTGCCAGTAAGAGAATGGTAGGCTGGTCTTCTGTTTCTGTGCTAAAGCCTGATCCTTTTTTCTCTACCTGCCATTCCCGCTCATCTGTTGTGATAGTATGAGCTGGGTGTCCTTGGTACCATTCAGGATGACAAACACCTTCCCCAGTTTTCCTCTTCCAGCTACAGGTACAAGTGCTGACCTCAGTTCTAGAGCTACAACCCTTCCCTGCCCTATTCCACCTTACAGCCACTTGGAAATAGTGTGTGTGGTCAAGCACATGGTCCAAGGGATTCCCTGAGCAGTGGAGAGAGGAGAAATTCCACTCGGTAGGGGGAAAATGGCTTTATGGGTATCATTCATCCCTCCTTTTCCCACTTCTGTCACATCAGACAGAAGTTTAAACCTCATGAAATACAAGAGCAGTAGAAATTACTCTTAGAACTAAGAAACCACGATAAGTCTAATTTTGAAAGCACAAGTAAAAAGTTAACCATTGCACATAGAGGCATGAATACCTGAGGACAGAGAAATCCTGATAGCTCAATCTTTGAGCTCTCCATGCTTACCTCAGCAGGAGAATTGATAATGGAGACCTGCAATCCATAGTGAAAAGCTCCAGTAATGCCCAGGACAAAAGCCAGGAGAAAAAGGTTGTAGCTCATTTTCTTGCAGGAAATAAAAACAGCAAGCAAACTGGTTTAGCTATCCAGACATGCTTCCAAATATCATGTGTTTTCCTTGGGAGCTCTAACAATCTGAGCAATGCCACAAACCTGCCTCCTCTGAGACCAAGGAGCCAGCAACTGGAAACCACAGCTACCAAAGCACAGGACAGTGAGAACGCTGAGTACAGACACAGCTCCCAGAAGCCTCCCAGCACCCAGTTACACACTTCAGTGCTTCTGTCTTCAGCTTTGGCCATCTTAATCTGCACTGTCATAGCTGTGGGAGCAGAGTGCAATATGCGAGCATTTTGTGAACTGTTCCATTTATTTGTCCTTTCTCCTCCTCCTTTCCCACTTGTTATCTCACCTAAATGAATATTTTGCTGAGTGACTTGGCTGAGACTAGATAAACATTTGGGGATTGAAGGGCATTGCTGGTTTCATAGTTTATTCACCTTTTCTTAGAACTCTTTGACAGAAGGCTTAAGAATACAGGACTGCAATACATGCACCTCAACCCCTCCCACTCCCTGTTACAGACTGTCCTGTGGATATTCTGGCCAGCAACAAGAGCATGATGCTGCACCTCTGGAATATTTCATATTCCAACAGTGACTGCCAAGCATTTACAAGCCAATTCCTAACCAGGGGAATGTCATTGCTTGAATGGGCATCAAACCTCTTCACACCAACTTGCATGCAAAGGTCATCCTCACTTGCAGCCTAGGTCTTTCCTGATGCTTTCTTTGTCTACTTTGGAAGAAGTTCCTTTTTATAAAGAGAAAGAGGAGCCTGAGATAATATTTCAAGACATCATTTTGTTCTTTCTCAGTGTTTACACTCCCTTTGGTTTGTCATGAAGGGCTTGCTGTTTGGTTTGTCATTGTTGTGCTGGTTAGTGATGGAGCTGGGGATAGCTGCTGAGCTGTGCTCTGCCAGGGCTCTGGGCGTGCTCTGGCAGCAGCTGTGCACAGTGAGGGCTGTGGGAGATGAGTAAAGGACAACAAGGAAAGCACTGGTGGAAGTCAAAGTCCAAGGACCAGCTCAAACTCGAGTGGGCTGGCTTGGACTCCCCAAGTTATAGGCTGGGTAATCAGATTTCACACTCTAAGGATAAGTTCCTGACTGATACCTTGAGCCTCAGTTCAGAAAAGCCTTTTCAAGCCCAACTTGGCCAGGACAGACAATGCCTGTGCACCCAAGTGTTGAATTATCAGTTGACTGATCAATTGGCTCTTTAAGAGTAATGGTCATTGGCTGCAAGCTCAAGTCTGTATCCCTATAATATACAGCAGATGCCAGGAAAGTTTAATGTCAGTTTTAAATCCTGACTATAAAATCTTTCATTTTATCCACAATTTTCAAAGGGCCTCTTTATCTAGCAGTGTCCAAGATGGTTCTGTTAAAAGGCCTTTACAGGTTATTCAAACAACTTAGGGGTGAATTCCTTCTCCTGGGGAGTGGCTGCCCTTGGTGGTTCCCCAGGCTTAGGATGCTGCATGTCTTTGGAAGAACCCCAACACCAGCTGGGTTGCAAGTGAGAGCTGGTTTGTGCAGAGGAGCAGTGCTTGAGGACAGCAGCAGTACTAGTTTTCTCTAGTGTTGCTGGTTGTTAATCAATCCAACAGTGCACAATTATTTAATCTGCAAACAGTAATATCAACTGTGAGTCTCTGAGGATCGCTTTTCAAGATGTGCTTTTGCCTAACACTTCATATGATAAGAAAATGTGAACAAGTGTCATAGATTTCTCAGTTGAAGGTGTTTTAATTCAATATCAATTAACCAACTTGTTAAATGCTTTCATTAAAATTTAACAACTTAAACCAACTAAAATGTAACCACTGTGTTTGCTTAATCAGTTTATAGACCCCTGATTTAAGGCCATAGTCAGAAAAAAAAAATGCTGGAAGTTGGAATTAATGTTTTCTGCCACATGTACTCACAGGACCAGTTCTAAAAGTCAGGAAGTCAAGTAAATGTGTGCCATTTCTCTCCAAGCCTGTTTCATACTGGCAGGTGCAGATGGCCTCTGCCCTGCAGGGCTGTGGGAAAAGTGGCACAGTCCTGACTCACGGGAGTAGCCACAGAAGTGGCCAAGGTGAGGACCTCTGGACACTGGAGGACTTCTCTGACCTGAATGTTCCAGCAGGGTGAGCCAGGCCTCTCCCTCTGCCCAGGCAGTCTCCTCAGTCCATCCCTGCTTCCTTCCCTGCATGCTCCCCACTGCTTCCCTTCTTCACTCTTCTCTGCTTCACTTCTGTCATCTCCTTCCTCTGGTTCTCACCACAGAATATTTTGCCACCATCACGATGGTAGTGGCACCTTTTGCTTTGACTTTGTGTTTCACTCTTTCCATCTTCCCCTCACCGCTCTCTCCAAACTATAGTAATGAAAACTATCTCTTCAGTTCTTAATTCTCTGGAGTTCTGCTCTTGAGTGCCTTGCCTCAAAATTCTGCATACTTCAAAATCTCAGTGTTTTCCAAGAGCTCTTGCCCATGTCTGTATATTAATGAATTCTAAAATAGCAGCAACCACAAAGGAAAACAAGTTGACTTTTATTTTTCATATGTTATAAACTTTGGGTAGTGAAAGAGAGTTCTTGCACAGATTCCTCTTCTGAGAAATAGATCTGCTGCTCCACTCATGCCCAGCATGACAGTAATACACTCCAGAAATTTTTACAGTCTTTTTATTCAAAAACACTGCGTTTTTCTTTAAAATTTAGTTTAAAAATACGCTGAAAGAAACTTTACCTACTTATTTTGAAAATGTACGTATTCTTCTTTGTTGCAAACATGAGCAGTGCTGTGACTTTCATACAAAGTCAAAAGAAAAGAGGTGGCTTGATGATGACTTTGAGAAGAAACTAAAAGAAACTTAAGCAGTCAGGCCAATGCCTGTGAAATGTTCAATGAGGAGTGCTCCCTGTTCTGTATCAGATTAACTAAAAAGAATCAGTCACATCTGGGTCTTTGCCAGTGTGCTCTAAGGACACAACAAGGACATGCTGCAGAGAACACTGTGGTGTGATCTAAAGATCCACATCCAAAAGCAGATGCACAGGTGCAAAACCCTACAAGATGCACCAGCAGTGTCCCTGGGAGCAGAACAAACTGGACCAGGGAATTACTTGTGCTTTACAACATAGGACTGGAAGACAACAAACAAGCCATGAAGAAAACCAGTCCAGAATAAATAGTCTGCAAAACAATGCCCAAAAGTCTGTTGTATAATAAGCCACTTAGCAAGTACTAGAAGCTTTCTTTCTAATCCATCTGTCACATGTTTTTATAGCTGAAAATAATTAACTGTTCACTATTGCTTAACAAGTAGGGGTCTATTTGAAATCACTTAATAACAGAAACAACGGGAGCACCACGACAAGGTACTGAAAATTTCATCTGGTGTCTGAAAACAGAATTTAATCGCATTAATTTCTGTGTTAGAAAGCCCAGATTCAGGGGCAAGGAAAGAAGGACTTCTGAAATGGGAGTTACTGTTTGGAGAAATTGTGAAGAAATTTTCTAAAGCATTACATGGTGTTGTATGATGATAAGAGAATAAGGCATCATTCTGTCACTCTCTGATATGGATTCTAAAATAAACATGTGTTACTCAGTACTAAAAGCTGAGAACAGATTATTGAACTTTTGCTTGGATTTATCAGTTCAAGTGTATGTTTTCAAGGTGAACTTAGGAACCTAAGAGTAAATACATTGTCCCTAAGTTCTCTCTTTGTGTCCCTGCAAGGGCACGTAGCCACTGCTGAATTCACTGCAGAATTCCCCCAGACACCATCTTCCTTTCTTCTGCTACAATGTGGTGGTTTTGATCTCCTCAGGGCCTTTATAGAAACCGGCACGGGTCCTAGTTCTGAAGTTCCGTTTCCTGAACTCCTCCGAGATTTCCAGGAAGGACTTTCCCTTTGTCTCAGGAAGGAAAAACCAAACGTAGAGGGCAGTGCAGACACAGACCACAAGGAATGGGATGTAGCAGAAATGTGCTAGACTCTTCTGAGGAGGAGGAAAAAACAAGACAGTGTTGGTGACATTCTGTATGGTGACAAAAAGGCCACTAATCCCATTTCCTGCACTGTCTAGAGTCACCCAGGGAGTATTTCTGTGAATCCTGGTGAGGGCCTCACATGCCTGGATGAAACAGCTCCCCAGCACAGACTGGTAAATTTGACATAGCAAGAACAGTATTTTGAAATGTATTTTTCTGTCTTTCTCTCTATATATAATTGCATAACATGGGAGCCCTCAGTAGGAAATAAACAGGAATCTATGTTGTGGACTTCTGCTCCCTTTTGCTTCAGGAATCATCTTAGGGAATGGTGTCAGGGTCTGGCAAAGGAAAATTACATCACATCTTTAGTTCCAGCCACTCTCAACTGAGGACAGAGGAGAAATATTGATCATCTGTCCCCTAAATGATTCCACTCCCAACCTGAAATCAGAAATCACCATAGAGAACAAGGAGAAAGTTTGGTTTAAGGGAGTTCTGGCCACTATCCTCACAAAGATACTTTTCAAAGAAGTGCTATCTTGCTGTTTGCAATATTGTCTTTTCCTGGTCACTACCAGAGCCTCTTTCTTGTACAGAGCACTGAAGAGCTGCTTTGCTTTGGGAACGCACCACAATGAATGGAAAGGCTGTTCCAACCAGAAACAGGTTGAACCAGAGCAGGGAGCCACAGATCATGTAAGCAGCTGGTCGGGACATTTGATCAAAAACCTCTGTGGGCAGAACTCCTGTTACACCAGCTGGAAAAAGAAATGGCAAGAAAGTCAATAATGTTGTTGACATAACATTAAAAACAAGAGAACACATCTTAACAAGAAATCCCGGTGTGAAGTATAAGAGGTGAATTTTTAGGTTAAATATTCAGGACTGGGTAATTATTCAAAGTTTCTCATGTTAGAATGAACTGCCAGGCAAGGTTTTGTAATCCACATTATTCTTACAGGACCCAATGGTGAGAAAGGCTTATAATTAATTCAACCCCATGGCACTGTAGGGACTGAGACATGAAATTATTGCCAGCTTGTGTGGCATGTGACACTGGCAGCTTGCTTCTACTCTTACCTGCCTTCCTTCAAACTCATGTGAGCAAACAGATCTCACATCTGTAAATTCACCATGCAAACATCCACAACATCCTGTGTATTGCCCACCCCCAGAAACTAGTGCTTTCTGCCATGGAAAGGCACATTAGTAGGCTAACAAATAGACATGGAAATTGTGCTTCCAGGTATCTGCAAGAAAATAATCAGATGGCATAGCCAGCAATTTCTAGGATTAAAGTGAGGCATTAGAAATGCTGTTATACAGCCCTAATGGACTGGGCAGCAAATCAAAACTTTGTTATCTATTTAAGCCAAGAATCACTTCCAAGTGCCTTGGCCTAATAGCCAAGATGACTGTGAGGGGGAATATGGCACAGAGAGAAACGGGCACAGCCTGGCCCTGCACAACACCAGGGGCACACAAAGCCCTGTGAAACAGCCAAACACCACCGGCAGAAATTGCCTTGTTCCTCTGAGTACACTGCAGCTAAAGACGGTCTGAGAGTTTCCAAAAGATGCCTGCACACATCTCCAAACCCCTGCAGTACCCAGAAGTTTCACTGAAAACACTGAGGGAACTGACCTGGTCCGATTCCAAAGCTCAGGATATAGGCGAAAATGCAGGCCATGCTGAGATAAGGCATCCAGCTAATCTGAGTCTACAGCCACAGAGACCAACGGAAAACCAGTGAGGGCACTTATTTGCCACCACTGAACACCCCCAGTCATATAAAATGTAAAGCCCAACTCCACTCCACTTCAAACATTAAATAAAGTTTGTTACCTGCTGGCTCAGAGCGACCATGAAGACAATGGCCCATCCTGCCATGAAGATATATCCCCCCAGCAGCAGCGGCCTCCGACCGGCGTAGTCTATAATCATGTTCTGCACAAAGTAACACAGTGAAAGAAAGCAAGATATTTAACCTCTGTTTATATTTCCTGCCTCTTTCCTCTTTACCTTTCAATACTCCATGCCTAGTTCGTCCTACAGTAATTTTCAGGATGCTGTCTACTTCATAGCAAAAGAAAACCTCAAAAAGAAAGTTCTGGTGGCAGGAGTCAGGCAAGAAGGGTGCTCAGGGCAGATGAGAATGTCCCAGCTGCACCTAAACCCTGCCACCATCCATATGAGCACACACAAGAGTGTTCCTCTTGTTAGGAATTTCAGACAGTGATGGCAATGCAATGTCTGACCAAATACCTCTGCATTAACCCATCTGGCTGGGGGTGCTGACAGCCAGCCTGGCTCCTGTGCCTGGAGGGCTCCCTTGGCATGAAAAGCAGTGTAAGCCCAAATTTGTATTTAACAGCCTCCCCCGTGCCAACAGAGGCTGCATGTCACCAGAGTGCATTGAAAGTCTCACACAAGTGACAGATGTGATCAGCTCACAACTTCCCGTGCCGATTACAACATAGGGGATCTTGTCCTGAGGAATTCCGGCCTCTTGGAACACATAAGCTGCATAAAAATACATCTGTGAAGAGAGGAAAGGAGAAAGCAGTAAGGGAAGACATCTGAAAGGACATCCCACTGTTTTTCCTGAAGGACAGGCAGAGTGTCTGACACGCTGTCACACAGGCTGCCTTGGCAGCATCCTTCTGAATCCTGCCATAACACACAGGTGAATTTTGGGAACCAAACATCTGACATTTGAAGAACTCCACAGGCAGAGAGCCACTATTCATTCCTCTCCTGCTGCCAGAATGTTGAACCCAAGAGCTCCCACAGGACAGAGGCTGCTTACCGAGTCGTTCCCGCAGAGCTGCATGGCGCTGCTCAGCACCACGATGCTCACCAGCTGCCACCTCAGAGCTGGGTTCTGGAACAGCTCCCACGGGTTCTTTGCTCTCTGGCCTTTAACAGCAGCCTGCTCTGCCAGCATCTCTTCCAGCTCTGCACTCAGGTCACTGGTGCCTCTGAGCTTCTGCAATGCTGCAAGGACAAGGGAACCTCTTGCTCCTGGGATTTCTCTTCAGTTTGCTGCTCTGCAGGGTGAGGGATCAAGCAGCAGGTGACGGCTGCAGAAAGCTGCAGGACAGAGCCTGTGATCATGCTGTGACCTTCACAGAGTTGATCAGCTGTGGTGCAGCCACTTGAAGGATTTGGGGGAAAGAAAGGGAGTGCAAATCCCTCACCATTGTTTGACAACTGAGTATTTCCCAAGAGTGCCATTTTAGCAGCCATGCTTCTGACTCAGATCTCAAGTGCCTTCCCTGGGAAATGCAGGCAATTAAGATGTTCTTGGTACACAGCAAGTATTTCCCACAAAATAACTCCAGCCACTCTGCATATGAGGATTTGTATGCCACAAATCTAAGTAAATCCTTTAATATGAATTGGCTTCAGATTTGATCCTGAGCTCTTCAATCGGCATTTATTTCACTTCATAGTTACAAAACATGTTTGCCATTCTGAACACAAGTCTTACCTTTTGACCCTATTACTGTAGCAAATAAGTCTATTGTAGGAAGATGCCTTTCAATTTACCTCAATAGATCAAATATATTTAAGATTATAGAACGTTCTTTAGTTTGGAAGGAGGGAATGATCATATTTACAACTTGATATAAAACTTCCTATGTGTAAAATTTGTGACACCATTCCAAAAATGTTTGGGCCCAAGTCTCACGTGTTCTGTGAGGAGTTAGCAGTCACCCTAAACTCACCAGAGATGCAGGATTCTTTGTCTCCACGGTCAATCAAGAGATATCTGGGGCTTTCAGGGAACCAAGGCAGAGCTGTGAGCTGGATCAGAGCAGGAACCACATTGCTTGCTAAGAGCAATGGCCAGTTCTCCTCCCCTCCTAGGAGCTCCCTAGAGGAAAACAAACAAACCTTTACAACCTGCAAATGTGGGGAGGGAGGGAGGGAGGAAGGGAGGAGAAGGGAGGAAGGAAGGAATTTAATAAGTGCTTGCTTTGCATTACCTGAGTCCAACAACCTGCCCCAGCACCAGCCCCAGGGCTGTAAATGATGCAGAGGTCAAGGCCACAGCTCCTCTGAGCTTCTTTGGGGCACTCTCTGCCAGATACATGGGCTGAATGTTCATGCTTACACCTGGGCAAGGCAGACAAGTGCTGACCTCAGCTTGAGGGCAGAGGAGACAAGAATAAATGCAGTCAGCCACCTCTCGAGGTTGCCAGCTGCACTCCTCTGCTGCAGGCCGTGTGATGATAACTAATCGACCAGTACTTGTTTTTTACCCAAACCTTCAATTTCACCCCTGTCCCTTGTGTAACTAAACACACATTTCAATATTCATCAGTAGCAGTGGATAATGAAACTGAAACCTGTCAGGGCCTCAGTCCTATGGTCTTTTCAGCACCAAATCCAAGGTTATATGCAATGTTTCCCTCAACTTCTCCTTTTGAGGGGAATATCATATTTTAAGTCCCTTATATTGATCATTTCCTGGGATGAACTGCTACAAAAGCTTTTGTGTTGGTGCTCATGGGGGTGAGTGACTGACATTCTTACAAGCAGATAAGGATCCATTTTCAGCTCAAATTTTCCCCATGTACAGAGATGCTCATGTGCAGTACACAAAATCCCCCTATCTATGTGTGCTTTAAAAGAAAGCCCTTAGAAGCAAAGCATAAAATCTGTATATACAACTTCTTAATTCACTTAGTCTGGTCAGCCTAAAGGATTTGCTTTAATATCCTGGATCATTCCTACTTAAATTTCTTGTAATTGTTACCACCTTCATCCTTCTATATTTCTCATGTTGTCGTACCTGCATTCACACCAGTGAAAAATCTGCTGAGCATAATCATTTCAAAGGATTTGGCCATTCGGCTGAAGCCGGACAAGGTTGCAGCTACAATCACAAAGACATTGTTCAGCAGCAGGGACATCTTCCTTCCGAGAGAAAAGACAGTTGTGAGCACACCTGTGACAGGTTCAGCTCTCAGATAAAACATTTCCCGTGGCTGGTGCCACCTGCCAAGCCTGGGAGCTCCAGATGAGCAGCTCAGCCCCACCACAGAACCTCCAGGTTGATGCAAGCCCTGCAGGAGGTGTCTGTGTGCCACAGGCTGTCCCTGCACTGCTGCCTTTAGGCGCTCTGAGGACACCCCCAGGTTCTCCCCAGATTCAGGGCTCTTGTGCTCACTCAGTGGAGAGGAATATTCCTTCAGCTGTGTGCATTTTGCTCTGAAAATGCTAATTTGTTGGGAATTTTTGATGTACTAGTGTAGTTGTTGTGAAACTTTTGTCAGAAAGTTTTCACGTGTCCCAGGAGAAATTTCTGCTGCAAGCCAGGGGAAAAAAGAGAGCTCTGTTGGCTGTTATTATTGCCAGAAATTCTCTCTAGTCCCTCCTCACTGCCTTACCAGTCAGCCTTTGTTTCTCTTACTTATGATGGAATAGGATTTTATTCTCAAAGTAGTAGTACAGGGTTAAATCTCAAAAATTTTAATGGATTAAGGAAGCCATATCCTTTCAGGTCTTCATAACCATGAAACTATCAAATCATGGGACCTCAGACCATAGAGAGTGGCAAAATCTAATTTTGTGTTAATGTTGGTAACACTGGTTTGGTTGTGGTGGTTTTTTGGTTGTTTTTTTGCTTGTTTGGTTTTGTGTTTTGTTTGTTTGTTTTTTGGTTTCCGTTTTTGGTTTGGTTTTTGGCTTTTGTTTTTTCCTGAAGAGAGCTGTGGGCATAGAGCTGTGTATGAAAGATAAAGATAAAGAAAGGTAAGACAGGCACTTTTCAGAGACTCAAGCACAGAGATAAAAATCCCACTGTGGATATATAGTGAATACTTCCTGAAATGTTTCAGACCAAAATGTGGATACACAGCCTGTGAGACATGAGGAGCTGGGATGTAAAGAGTTTTTCTCAGTTTTTCTACTGTCATTCCCACAGTTTCTTTTGAAGAAAATTGATCCATTATGATTTCCCATTTAAAATCATGGCAGAAATCTGGGCACAAAAATGATAGAGATGATGTAGGTGGGTACAGAGATAAAGAGTTGAGCTGAAATCCTCACAGCACCTCAGCTGAGCTGGAATGTGATGAGAAGGTAATGGGGGGAAAAAACTGTTCCCCATTGAGTTTTGAGACATGAAATACTGTCTTGTCAGGTAGTTTCTCCCCACCAACCCAGTGTGTTTACAGCAGACTGATCTGTGACACAAAACATGTTTTCATTACTTCTAACCATGTTTGGATCCTAATTCCTCTTGGACTGAGGGAAACTGCAAATCTTAAATTAAACTCCAGCACCTCTTACCTGCCCAGCATGATGGCCATGGGCCCAGCAACCACAGCCCCCGTGAGGCCTCCCAGAGGGTAGGCAGAGACAGTGAAGGACCAGAGCAGCAGGATGACGTTGCTCTCCAGGGGAACGCCCATGCGCTCCAGCCAGGTCGTGTTCATGAACATCTGGATGTACTGAGAGAGAAGGACAGAGCTGCAGAACCACCAGAGAGGAGAAGGACACCGAGAAAGGCTCCTGTATTAATAGATCTATTTATCCTGTGTTTATGCTGCCAATCTCCTCCAGTTCTTGGATGTGATTTTAGCAAAGAGTTTAGGGTGTGAAACTGTTGTTGTTGAAAAGTTGCAGTTGGTTTGTATCTCTATGTAGTTATTTTTGATGGGTCTCACTTTCAATCTAAGGGCAAAAATCAACTTCAAACGATGCAGGCTGGAAAATTCTAGATTTAGATTTTGCTAAAGCAGTTGAAACAAAGCTTTTGAATAAACTCTTGTGATACTAGGTCCTGCTCAAGGATGGCTTTTGACAACAAAGTCCTGAACTCTGGATGTGAATTACACAGAGGGAACAACACATCCTTGCTTTGTGTCCCTAAGCAGCAGAGGCCAGCAGATGTCCCGTGGCACAACTCTGGTCACCCCACGGAGCCACCAAGGAAGGGTCTGCAAGGGGGAGGCACTGGCAGCAGCAGCACTTACTGAGGCTGGAGCATTGATGATGGAGATGTTGTAACCGTACTGGAAAGTGCCTCCAATCCCAGCAGCACATATTGTCAGGATTAGGATCTTGTTCTGAAGCTGAAGAAAATGACAGACAACAGATGGCTCCCTCACACAGAATGACTCAACAGACATTCAGACTTTGAGCTGGGGGATTTTCCCATGGCCAGGTACACCCAGCGCATTCAGGATTCCTTGGTGTGCTATCATTTCTAACCTTTCATGATAATAACACGTATTTTAGATTAGAGTGTCTTTCCTGTGATGCTGCACTTGCTGCACAGAGCAGACAATGCTTAGCAGTCTATAACTGCGTATTCAGCATTGTGGTACAGGTGAAATATGTGCCAGACAGGGGGTTCCTATGCCATGTTCAGGTCTCCCTGAGGACATTTCTTCACAAGGATTGTCACTTGCTCACATTGCCAAGTGACACCACTGCTGAGCCTTGGGAAGCATGGGCAGGGGAATGGGCTGCCTCATCATGCAGCATCACAGGATCAGTGTTGGTGTAAAAGTCTTGACTTTTTGAAGGGTGCAGAACAAGCTGTCCTGGCTGGCCCAGCCCACTGGCAGGCTGACAAGCAAAAACATACAGGCTTTTTTCCACTCTTTTGTACCTGTGCCTTTGGTTTCCCCATCTGCAGGTGAAATCCTCTGAGAGGCAATCGTGCCCTGAGGGAGTCTTGGGACTGGGAGCTCAGTTCCACATCTCAAGACCACTCTGAGCACGCTGGGGGGCCCTGGTTTTTAGCCTGACACCTCCTGCACAATGTTCTGGGTGGCCCAGGATGGCCTTTGCCAGCCCCCTGCTTAAAAACCCCTCCCACTGGGAAAGCTCTGGTGTAACATGAAGAGCCCATGCTCAGGCTTGGCTGTTTGCCAGCCAGTGCAGGGCACTTCAGGCCAGATTGTGTTTTGCTATGTGAATATGACCCCAGTGACCCTGAGAATTTAATTAACCCAAAGCTGAGGACCTCCTTCTGCTTTACCTGCTCTGTTTCTTCTTACAGAGCCATCCACCAAAGAAAAAAAAAAAATTGGTCTAGTCTCACTATAGCTCTAAAACCACACATTCAAATAATCTTGGATTTTTTTCCTTTCCTCAAAGTGTTTTCTTCTAAATAACTTCATACCAGCCTGAGACAGGATGTTCCCCAGGACAGAAATAAAGCCAGACTATTCCAAGTCTGCAGCAAGAGGAGGCTGAGCTCTCCTCTCCCAGCCAGCAGCAGACACATTTCACTGGGACTTTCCATGGCAACACCACTTCCCTGTCTTGTTACTGAGAACTGAGCTAAGGATTGGGCACCTGAGATCTCTGCCATTCCTACTTATTCTCATTCTCCAGGTGAGAGTTTCCCCTCCCTACAATAGCACATTTCCTTTCCATTTACAATATCTAGGAATATCCCACTCCTGCTCATTTCCCTGCTTTCATTGTAGAGTACATCCCCTATCAAGTCGTGTATCACAGAGCTCTTTTGTGACCATGAGCTAAAGCAAAATGGTTTGTTTCTCCCTTCAGGGGCCAGCAAACACCTCTGTGCTCAGAGCTGAGCTGCATTTACAGAGTGACCTTCCCAAGCCTTCTGCAACACCCAGCTTCTGCACTGTTTTCCCAGCCACCATGGTGGTGTGCAGCTCCCAGGAGAGCCATTAGTCTGTCAGCTTTATCCCAAGGACTCTGATGAATTGGAAAAATAATTCTATGCAAGCCTGACAATACTTACACAGCCTTATAAAAATTCAAATTAAAAAAATAAATCTGTTAATAATAATAGTAAAATAGATGTTTTACCAGTCTCTGCAGCTTGTTCATCCTCTTTCGTAGGTTTTCCTCTGTCTGCCAAAGCCTCTGGTACTCTCACAGTGCTCTAAAGGATTATGTAAATCTCCAGCATAGGAATGTGTATTTAGTCACCTATTATGTTAGGATAAGACACTTGATTTGGCAGGTGTTTTGCCAGCTGGATTACATTCCCAAAACTGAGCTGCATGTTCATTAGCAAGATGGTTCAATTAATTTTGTTGAAAGCCCGTAACAGTCCAGGGAAATGATTCTCCAAGATCCAGAACTGTCTAAACCCTCTTGAAGGCCAGTGTGGTTTACAAGACCAGTTCCTTCTCAGAGATCCTGGCACAGCCACCAGTATCACTTCTCTGATGAAGTGTGATCAAAGCAGAAGTGAACTATGATTATTTTTTATCCTGGTTGCATTTGTCCTGGAACTCAGTCTAGGATCTGAAAGACAAAGCAGACTGTTTCCCTTGGTCCCATCAGTGACAGGGATGAACGAAGTCCAAGCTTTTCAAACCCTTGGTTATCCAAGGCCTTTCCCTGTGCTCCTGGCTGCGTCCTGGTGACAGATCCAGCTGTTGCTGGAAAGGCTGAGCATGAAGGCACAGAAGGCTGTGCTCCTTTCCCTCTCCACAGCCTGGCACAGAGCAAACAGCCACACTTAGAGAGAGCACTGGGTCCTGTCAGGTACAGAAGACAGCAGTGACAGCCTTGTTTCTTTCTATAGAACAGAAAGGCACTCCTTGGCAGTGGGAAATGGTGAATCCTTCTGAATCCTAGAGATGGAGATGGACACATATTACACTGCCAGCAGTAAAATTAAAGCTGCTGCTTCACAAAATATCTGGCCCTCAGGAATAATCATCCTTTTAACTTCCTGTCATCCTGCAGAGTGAGATTTGTGAGGGCCCCGACAGATTTCAGAGAGTTTGAAATAACTGAAACATTTTAAAATGCCTCTTCATCCCTACTCAGGTTTTCCTGCACCTGAACAGAAATATGAACCTATTCCACCTGGCAGAGGTATTGTCTGGTGAACATGCAGCCAGGGCTGTGGTGCTGCATCAGCTGCAGCCACTAAGTGGCAGGAGAAGTACAAAATTTGCTGTATTAGGCTCTGAATCCAACATGCCAGCACTGTGCTTCCCATGGCATGTGCCAGGGGTTAGATGAATGCTTCCAACAGCTTCCCAAACAATAAACTGGGAAACAGATGTAACTGTACCTGTCAACAGGCACCGATGGATAGTTTAGGCAGCATGTATCAAGAACAGTAATTCATTCAAAAAGGAAAGCTCTTGTTTCCTCATGCTGTGTGCTCTGAGCTTGTGCCAGTTGCCAGAGGTGAGGGAAGTCCTGGGAGTGGGCAGTGAGATGCTGGGGATTGTGGCACAGGCTGTTCATGAGCCTCCCTGTTCCAGAGGGAGCATAAATTGGATATTGCTGTGGTGAGATCTGTGTGCAGCTGGCTAGCTGGGAGTTCCAGGAAGTTGTTCTCTATCTTTCCTAGCCACGGCTGCCTTCATGAGGAGTGAAGGGATAGATTTTTTTTGTCTACACAGCACCTATATTGTGGTTTGGTGCTGAGAGATGTTCACACTGGTTGTGTTTCTAACTGGCTTTATGCTGCACCTTAAGAACCTCAGCTTTCCCAATGCTTCATCCTCATTGTCAGAGTTCCAGAGTCTCAGTTGTAGATGAGAAATCTCCGGGGTCAGGGTCTGTCACCAGGGTATAACCTCTGCTCTGCAGTTCCTCCAACTCCTGGCACTGGAAGCCTTCACACAAACCCAGCAGCTTTCCAGCAGTCCTGTGGGGACCCACCACCCTCTCCCTTCAAATACTCTTTCAGTGAGCTCAAACCTGTCATAATCAGGGTGAAATACGATGCCATGCACATGGGAGAGGAGTTATTTGGAGGATGTGATGGCAGTCTCTGTCTGCAGAATCTGGCTGCAGGAATAAGTGGTAATCCTGCAGTTAGGGAGGACCATCAACACATGCTCTTTGATCTGTCACGAACTGAGAGGCTCCAATGTTTTACTGTGTTTTTACACCAGAATCATCTGGACCAACTTCAAGGGGAGAAAAGGGGCCCCATTTCCATCTGTGAGGCTTGGATCTACAGGATGAATTCTCCCTACAAGTGTAAATTGCAGAAGAGATGTGGAGCAGCTCCCTGGCTGGTTGTTGACTTTGCCAAGCTCTAGCCTGGCTATTTCTGCAATCCCTTCTCACTTTTCTGTAAGGGCCATCACTGTAAGGTACAAAATGCCTCTGTTTGCTTGTCCTGACTCTTGCAGGACTCACTCAGAACACAGAAGACAAATAATAAGATCTGCAAACAAGCAGCTTTCTCAACAAATATGCAACAGGTTTGCTGATTTCATGGTGAAATCAATGTTTATGGAACTTAGTTGTTGAAATGGATTTTTCCTTGTAGGAAATGAGTGCTCTGCTCTGACACCATTATTCTCGGTTCCAGCGCTTCACTAATGTTCTTTATAAAGACCCCACAATTTATGTTCAAAACACTGTTTAAGAACTTCAGGAAATGAGCTTCATCACAGAGGTTTCTCAGGGCAGGGACCCAATGCTGACAGAGCTTCTGCTACCACACAGAGTCACTGGGACACATTCCAGAGCATGGAGATCCACGGGAGCTGAGTCCTTTGAGGACATGAGGTTGAGACAGCCAAGGGACCTTGCTGCCTTCCCTCACTAGCTGGGATTTTTGGATGTCAGAACATCTGCATGTTCTGTGTGTTGGATCAGCAGTCTGCCTTTCCCTCCACCTGATAAGCACTAGAGCTTGTCTGGGAAAACTGAGAAAAACCAAAATCCTAAAAATAATGGGAATACGTTTCTTTCAGTCCATTGTGAGCTGTAGGTCATGCTGTGGCTGAACTATTTCTTTTCCTTCCATCTCTGTATCAGACACTGATAGAGGCAGTTAGCTGAAACTGAGTGACCTCGAGGCCAGAGGGAACAGTCTTTACCCAAACAAAACCTCTGTTTCTGTGTGTGAGAGAAGAGCATTTACACTCCACCAAATGGCATCAAATGTTCCCATCAGAGGAGAGGAAGCTGTGCAGCAGTGTCAGAGTGGCAGACTCATCCTGCTTTCTCACTTAACAATCCCTGCAGACAGAGCTGCTGCTCAGAGCTGTGCCCTGGCTCATGGAGAGGCAGCTGGGCTGGGACACATATCCTGCCTCTGGTGAAAACCAAAGTGCAAATACCTTTTCTGACTCCTTGTAGGGGTCTCCAGCCACTGACAGCACACTCAGTTGATGTGCTGCTATTGCCAGCTCAGCATAGACCTCTTCTTATAAGACACAAGCATTGTTTTTCAGTTCTCTTGTTGATTTGGCCACGGTGCTTATGAAATGGACGTTACAAAATAAAGGCCCCTGAAGGATATTCCTTACTGACAGCTCTGGGAAGTGACCTGTGGTGTAGGGGACAGATCACAAGGCAGAAAAATTTAATGAGAATTATTAAACAGTGGAGAAAAATAACTGTGCAAAGAGGCAGACATTTTCTTGTTTGATATCTTCAGCTCATGATCAGAAGCTGTTTTGGAAGAGGAGCTTTATTTGGATATGTGATGAGGCTCTGCTCAAGGAGATTTAAATGAGATCTTTCTCACGATATGCCAGACAAAAAGCTGTATTTTTGAACTAAAAACCATAGGAAATAACATTAACTGTGATTTACAGCAAACCCTGTGCAAACCACATGTCCTTGGAGGGCTGAACTTTGTGTGCTATCTTTGGTTTCTTTCTAACAAACAAACAAATTTAAAAATCCATCCAATTCTGTATGATTCACTTTCTCCTGACTTTAGCCACCACACTCCAGAGTTAGCTGATTCGGAACAAGAAATCCTTCAATGAAGGATAAAGAATTTATATGTGGCTGTCGTACATGGAAAAGTAAACATTTCAAGTGCCTCAAGCAGTTATGATTACACAGCTTATCTATGCTCAGCAAGTTCATGGAGCTCTTGGCATCTTTTATCTATGCCACCAAGGACTGAGTTTGGGAGCTGAAATAACCTCCCAGAAAGCTCCTCCTGGCTGGTGTGGCTCACTTGTTCCCAGTGCCAGGGCATCAGGCATGTAGAGTCCTCTCCTATATCAAGGCTACCGGGGGTCTCAGGCATGGCATGGGAGCACTGTGGGGAGACCTCAAACACACCTGGCACATCCCATACCCTGGTGGGGGGAGCCTCTCAGAGAGGCTGTGGGGGTATCTTTGCTCTCAGATGAAGGAAAGATTTGGGACTGTAAGCAGGGAGGTGGAGTATTATCCCAAGAGAGGGGTTTGGGGTTATGTGGCTGGGGAGCGAACGCTCTCCCTTGAGTAGCCGGCAGCGCAGCTGGAGGAGAAGCCCGTGCGTCACCAGGCCGCGTATGACTTGTCACAGCAGGACACGTTACAAAACACCATCAGATGAAGTTACAAACAAAATGCCAGTGGTGTTAAAGAGCAGAGGGCACATGTCACCAGCTGGACACTCACAGGGGTGTGCCTGGGGCTCTTCTCCTGCCCCATCAGCTGTGGCCGGGCTGAGCGCCCCGCCAAGGGCGCCAACGCTCCTTAGGGTCTGTGCTGACACGGCACAGCTCCCTTCATCCTGCGACCCCAGCACTGCTGGGCTGGGAAAATGGGAGCTGCTGCCTTTAAACAAAGCAGCTGTTTATTCTTGAAACAATTAGAGACGGCAGTTAGATCTTGAACTCGTTACTGAGCCCAAAACAATTATGATAAAAACAAGTTCCAGATGGGCTCAAAAGGAGTTGTTTTTGTCTTTACTGAATTAGAATGGATTCCATGTCTTCAAGTTCCTCTGGTATTTATGGACAGGAAACATGAATTACACACAATAATTTACTACAAACAAAAGAGATGACTGCTGCAACAGCCCATTTATCTTTGCTCATGTGCCTTCTCGAGGTTTATGTGCTGTTTAACTCATGGGGAGAGTTAATAGCATTTTTCTCTGTTTTCTAACT